AATAAAAGTGAAGTGGAGCAGATTACGGTTACATCGAGAATAGCCGAGTTCTGGGAAGATCAACCCAGGACGTGGTTCATACATGCAGAGTCAGTTCTTTTTAATCAAAAATTATCGGACGACGCCAAGTACCATCTCGTCATTGCCAAACTGGGTAAAAACGTGGTCAGTCAAGTGACAGATATATTAATAAAGCCGCCGAAAGAAAAAAAATATGACACACTCAAGGCCAGACTTTTAGCAATATACGAGGAATCGGAAAGCCGCCAGTTGCAGAAGCTCATAGGGGAAATGGAACTGGGCGATCAGAAACCTTCGCAGCTGCTTCGTCGAATGAAAGATTTAGCCCGCGATAAAATCAGCGACGAAACCTTACTCCTTTTGTGGCAGAACCACCTACCAACCTCCGTCCGTGCAGTATTAGTAGTGACGGATAGCAAGGATATCAATACCCTGGCTTCCGTAGCCGACAAGGTAATGGAGACAACCAGGCCAATCTCCATAGGCGAGGTCAATACGGCAGATACAGCTACCTTAATATCGCAAATAGCCAGAATTAATATTCGCCTCGATGAGATCCAGTCGCAGAGGAATGGCCAACGCAGAGAACGGTACAGATACGGATTCCGTGGGCGCTATGCAAACAGAGCGCGATCGAGTTCCCGTGGTCGCCGTAATACGACACCCCATCGCTCAGCAGCTCGTGACGATTGGATGTGCTTCTATCACTACAGATTCAAGGAGCAGGCGCATAAATGCGTGCCGCCGTGTGCGTGGGAGAAGAAGCAGAACCAGTCGGGAAACTAAATGCCATGCAGTCTGCGGCGGGGGACAGCTGCATCGGAGCACGTAACTACCGCCTTAGTATAAGGGATAGAAATAGTAATTTAAATTTTTTAATAGACACTGGTGCCAATATTTCTGTTTTACCACGTACAGTTACGAAAAAAAAAGCTTTTTCTGATAATAGTTCAAAGTATACATTGTATGCAGCAAATGGCACCGTCATTAAAACTTATGGTACTAAAAATTTGGAATTAGATTTAGGTTTAAGAAGATCTTTTCACTGGACATTTGTTATTGCAGATGTAAGTCAGCCTATTTTAGGAGCTGATTTTTTGAAAAATTACCATTTATTAGTCGATTTAAGTTCTCGTAAACTAACCGATCAAATAACTAATCTTAACGTTTCATCCTTATTTGTAAATTGACATCATATAAATAGTATGTTCGCAAACGCATTTTTACCTTTTAAGTTTCGTGGACATTTCGGCAGCAAATCAAACCATTTTTAGATTTAATTTTAATAGGTGTCTGTGTTTTTGTTTTATTGGTATGTTTACTGTTATGTTAATTTTTATAATTTTTTTTTCATTTTTTGTATAATTTTCTTTTAATGTTATATAACAGTACAAATGTTTTTTTAATAAGGGGGGAGTGGTGTGCCGGCTCATGTCAACGTCGAGGCAGTCCATCGGAGTCCGGCATGGCACTCGGACACGTATACAATAAATAATTATGAGTGATATGATTTTCCTTTGAGACTGACCCACACATAACTCCGCACAATATACACGCAATTAAAACGTACGATACATTTTCAGCACAAGTACGAAGAAGTTGTTTATTATTATTAAATAATTTATATTATATCAATAATCAGTTATATTATTTATTAATATGTTTAAAATTGTATTGTATTATTATCTTAACAAAACAGGAAGTGCATTTCGATTGTTCATTAAATTCCACGGTTCTATTACGTTTACGTATGATATAAATTATAAGTAAAATAATTAATGTGAACGTAATTGCTAATTAAGTTTTCTTATAAGACATAAAACCTTCACGTATAAGTGATAAATGATTGAACATACGCATCTTCGAAATTTCTTGTACATACGTAAAAGGATGTATTATCTTGTCGCGACACAAAAAACTATTTAAACGAATTCACAAGCACTTCTAATATTGAAGAGTTAGCTATTAATTACTGCATTGATTTGGAAGCCGCGACTTGGCTGTATTTACTGACTGATTTTGATAATTGATGGTGACCATTCTCAAACAGGTGGAGCGTATATTTTTAATTCGGTGATGCAATTGGCATCCCTGACTGTTCGATTTTCAGATCGAACAAAAATTTGTTCTTTTTTTCTGGGTGTTTAATGTCTTTATATGTATTTATTTAAAAACTATTGTGTATATAACTATGTATATCATTCTCTGATTTCCTTAGTCCTCGGAATCCTAGATTGGGGTCAAGTGACCGTGTATGAAATAAGAAGTAGTGTTATTATTAAAACTATAAAATTATTCGCCTGTCCGTAGAGATCATAAGTTATTACGTTTGATTTATGTATTTGCATTCTTAACAAACAACGTATAAAACTTGTTTGCACATATTGTGTTACTCAAATTAATCAAAACTAGTGGCCCCGCAGTAGTCGAAATTCGACTATGATTAATTGAAATTATAAGTTTAAACATTGTTATGGTTCTATTGTCAAACGCTATTATAATTCGATAATATATTCACAGTATTCGCCAAAACTGCGCTATAGATCAATAATATTAAAGACAAACAATATTAATCTATTTTCAATTCGACCACAGACTTTAAACAATAAAAAAAGTTTCCCAATTGACAGTAAGCAAATAGTATATTTTTATGTATGTGTTGTGTCAAATATATGGTAGTATGTGTAATGTTTTCTTTATTAATTTAAATGTATTTTATGAATTATTAAAAAAAAATTAGTATTGTACACTCCTTCTCTATATTCTCTATAAGTGTGAGAATTTTCATACTCTTCCATCCGCGCATTTTCGTAAAAAGGGGTACAAAGTTTTTGCTTCACGTATTAATATATAGATACTTGCATAACATTTGTTAAATACAATACATTTTCGCATATTACCGTTTATAAACGACACTTAACATTATATGGCTATTTGCGAGTAAATAGCGTCAGAACATAGCACGGTCGTGTTATGTGGTGACGTCATATAGACTCAGAATCATAACGCACTGACAATCCATCATAAATTTTTTTCCCTATCTATTCGCTGGTATCCTAATGGGCTATTCTCGCGGACGGGTAGGTGAGCTCACGAGCTCCATCTGAGAGAATTTGTAACACTAGCCCTAGCAAGAGCAGTGCTTCGCAAAATCTATCAACGGATTGGAATCGCGACACACTGAAGATCCGGCGACAAACTCAGTGGGTTGCATATTTTTTATTTATTGCTTTGATGGGTGGACGAGCTCACAGCCCACCTGGTGTTAAGTAGTTACTTGAGCCGATAGACATCTACGACGTAAATGCGCCACACACCTTGAGATACAAGTTCTAAGGTCTCAGTAAAATTACGACGGCTGCCCCACCCTTCAAACCGAAACGCATTACTGCTTCACGGTAGAAATAGGCAGGGTGGTGGTACCTACCCGTGCGGACTCACAAGAGGTCCTATCACTAGTAAATATATAGTAAGTATATATGGGTTAGCGTAGTCGACCAGTTCGAAGAGAACGATTATCGGTTCTTGAAGAGCTTAAAAGATCCATCATTAACAAACAAATGTTATTAACAAACAACTAGCATCTGGCCAGACAATTTCAAATAAAAAATGAGGATGTTCTCTTCGACTTTCACCGATGAAGGAAGAACAATGTGAATTAAAAATCAAAATTCACAAAAATTATGTAAGGAATGTAAGCCGGCATGGGTCCGCAAAAGAATACTTTTTCTGCCGTAAAACATTCAAAGATTCCGATCTGACGAGTGGAATAGGTGTACGTTTTAGTATCATTATATTATTTTCGACGTCAAACACTTTACTATTAAAGTTACAATAAAAAACAGGGAATTGAGCCGTAAAAGTAGTTTTTCTTTTTTTCACACTGCAATAGTTCAGTAACTAATTACTTAACATCAAATGGTGCTTTCACCCGTCTTCCCATTGAACGATAAACATTTTTTTATTGCTTAGATGGGTAGACGAGCTCTCGGCCCACCTGGTGTTAAGTGGTTACCGAATCCCATAGACATCTACAACGTAAATGCCGCCACCCATCTTGAGATATGAGTTCCATGGTCTTAGTATAGTTACAACGGCTGCCCCACCCTTCAAACCGAAACGCATTACTGCTTCACGGTAGGAATAGGCAGGGCGGTGGTACCTACCCGCGCGGACTCACAAGAGGTCCTACCACCAGTAATTACGCAGATTATAATTTCGCGGGTTTGATTTTTATTACACGATGTTATTCCTTCACCGTAAAAGTTAATCGTGAACATTTGTTAAGTACGTATATCATTAGAAAAATTGGTACAAGCCAGCGGGATTCGAACACCGGTGCATCGCTACATACGAATACACCGGACGTCTTATCCTTTAGGCCACAATGACTTAAACATTTTTGGTGGATCCAATAAAATTGTAAATTAACATACTCCAGTGGATTCCTTGGGTTTAGGCACGCCGAGATGTTCGTACGCGAACAGTCCCTGCTCCATGAGCCTGTCGTAGCTGATGTTCACGGGCACTATGGTAATGTCGCTAACTTCTCTAGCGAAGTACGGCATCAGGCTCATTGAAAGCATACCTGCGAGACAAAATAACTATATCTTTGAATTATGTTATTTAACTAATAATAATTAGTAAGTACCACTAACGTATTTTTTTATTGCTTAGATGGATGGACGAGCTCACAGTTAAGTGTTCACTGGAGCCCATAGACATCTACAACGCAAATGCGCCACCCACCCTGAGACATAAGTTCTCAGTATAGTTACAACAGCTGCCCCACCATTCAAACCGAAACGCATTACTGCTTCACGGCAGAAATAGGCGAGGTGGTGGTACCTACCCGTGCGGACTCACAAGAGGTTCTACCACCAGTAAGAGAAATCGTATGAGAAATCTCGATTTTTTTTCGAAACTACACACGGGCAATTCTTACATAACACCTTCCATGCAGAGGCGACAGGAACTGTACAAATCTTTAATCACAATCAGACAAATTATTGAGAAATACAAAGAAGATAAACAGAGAGATTATAATTCTCATAAAATTCGAACTCCAATTCATCCAATTATAGGTAAAAATAATAATAAAAACGTCGTATTACATGTACGTTTTACTTCTATACAGAGATATATGAAACTTGTGTGCTTCATACAACATAAGTAATCAGCCATCAAATTTTCAAGTCTGTAATCCCAGGGAGTTTAGGTCTGTTCAGCCGGAAGGCAGTTCTGCATTCTTTATGGTATATAATAAGATAGCCTTTGTACTCTATTGTCAAGGTGGCTGGTAACTATGTAATGATAAAAATTTAAAGTGCACAATACATTATCTTTTCTGTACAAATAACACTGGCTTGTGAAGGTCTTATCTGTTTGTACCGGTGTTAGCAAATAAGTTTATACTAAGCAGTATACAAACTTTATGTAGATAAATTACTTCTCAGTAAATCGCATTCGTTTTTATATAGCTTTTAGATTGATTATATAAGCATTAAAGGCTTGAAAGATCAATGGTCATGCTCCCTTGTGTCCCTTGTTTAGAGGATGAATCTTTGAGGTCAAAAGTACACCTAATAAAGGTCTTTAAATATATTTGGAATGCGTCATCAGCATTTAACGATTAGCAAAAAATATATGTACATCAAACTGTCTGGTTTATTGCTTAGAAAATTTTCATTCTTCAAACATTCATTCATGAAACATTCCAGAATCTGTGAGGCTACTATTTTAAAATATCACTTTTATTCCCATAATTGTCACAATGAAAAAGAAGATTAATTAATTACTTGTGGAGCTTCTCGGTACGGGTAGGTACCACTGCTCCGCCTATTTCAGCCATATAGCAGTAATGCATTTTGGTTTGAAAAGTGGCACTCTAACACTTATACACTAAAACTGAGACTTAGAACTTATGTCTGAAGGTGATTTGGCAGCATTAAGTTTTTGATGTCTATCGGCTTTGCTAATTACACTAGGTTGACCGGGATCTCGCTCCCTAACCAATAAAATAAAGAAATTAAATATTTACCGTATTTTGGAGGTAAGCTCTTATTGCTTCGGCTTCTTGTGCCTTCAAGGAAGAATTCAATGGGAGATGAGTATTTGGCTACTACAATCCGTACATACTCTCTCAATGTTGCCGCATACAGAGGTGAACCCACTAAAGTTCGCCTGATATAGAAAGCGCCCGTTTCACGCATACGTCGTCCCACAATGGCCATTGAGTAAAAATCTGAAAACAACCAGAACTTTTAAATATCCAATAAAAAGTGTTATTTAAATTATTCATTTTAAAATGATATTATTAAATGTAGACAGTGAGTAGTGAATTCACAGGTGTTGCCTGTTTATTGTTCTTTATAAAAAATAGTTGCATGCAAACCATCAAGCTGTACATGCTAGCTGTAAAATCTGGTAAAATAGCAATAGTAAAGATAGGCTTACCCATTCCGGCAGCAACAGCAGGAAAGTCAATATCGTAATGACAACACAGATAGGTCATAAGACAAAAGTCAGCATAACTGCGATGTGTTGGAAGAAACAACACAGGATTTCTTCCCATGGTCAATTTTAGCTGCGAAGAAAACCTTTTATAAAAATACTATTTTGCTGTCGATTGTTTTTAACTTAAGCCCAATCTAGCTTAAAGGTACATGTTGAGAGTTTCGATAGGTTGNGCAACAGCAGGAAAGTCAATATCGTAATGACAACACAGATAGGTCATAAGACAAAAGTCAGCATAACTGCGATGTGTTGGAAGAAACAACACAGGATTTCTTCCCATGGTCAATTTTAGCTGCGAAGAAAACCTTTTATAAAAATACTATTTTGCTGTCGATTGTTTTTAACTTAAGCCCAATCTAGCTTAAAGGTACATGTTGAGAGTTTCGATAGGTTGGTAAAACTGTCTTGCCTGTTGCTTGTTGCATAGCAATTTGAAGGGCAGGGTAGATTTATTCTCTTACTATAGGATTTTCAAATTCATTTCAATCTGAGCAATAGTATCTCTATTGTCACTGGGCTCTATAGCTTTTTAACACCTAGTGGATCACAATATTACCTATTCATGTATGTCAATCAAAAAGTAGCTTTTGTTTCATTTAGTAGTTTTATGCATTTATTTCATAAGCCCCCTCACACATTACCTCTCGTAATTTATACTACTGCAGTGCCTCAAAAGTTGATTTATACACATACATTTTAGACATTAAATTTAAAATAATAAAAGAAAACTTATATCAAATACAGTTGTACTACTATTAGATCAAGTCCAATTATTTAATCAAATATACACAAGACTATTTAAAAAAAAAATACAAATCAAGTACAGCTTGAATTGTTCATTTACAGAATGGTTTGCTTGTATAGAATCAGGGTGGATCCTATACATTTTGGTAAAATGCAAAGGTAGAGATTGTATTTCCTGAATTTTTCTTTTTATTGACAGTAAGAAGAATGAGTAATGGTACTATTAAAAAATGTGAGTTATTGGTTCACCTGGAGCACTTTTGGTTCATTGACAAATAGTTTGATCTTCATCATGAATGAAATTTTAAGGAAGAAGACACCCATCCATCTTATGACATGTAATTTTTTATCTAGTCCCATTTCTTCAAGGTAATTCAATACTTCTTTGTGCAATTCTGTTTTGCTAATACCTGTCCTGGTGCTCTCCTAAAATCATTTTATGGCAATTTAGAAGTGAATGTATTAAACATGTAATATTTTATACATAATATTGGGTTTGTTTTTTATTTTTATTATTTAAATTAACTCCTTAGTAAGCTCTAATGCTAATAGTTATATCTTATTTATATTTAAGATACTTACAGCATCTATAAAATTGTCTAAATAAACCGATTTTGCCACAAAATCTTTAAGATCTTCAGGCGAATAGATTTTATCTAAGGCCATAGTTTTTACAGGGTCCCACCTACGAGTCATGTAGCGAAAAGTGTCGGATTCAGTCCTTCTCGGCTCTAGGATATCAACGAAATTCACTTCCTCACTCATTTTGAATTTTCAACACTACTAACAAATTTAATACATCGTGTAGATACAACTTTAATGTATTTTATTAAAAGGCAAAAAGATGTGAAAATTAAAATGTTTTACTGAAATAATTACATAATCCGATCAATATCGTGAATAATTTACTTCAATGATTTTTTTTTTTTTAATTATTTCGAGAACAAATTTTTTTATTTTCAACAAACACAATAACTCATCACGACAGAATTTGAATGAAAATATTGCTCAATATGTGTGCGTAATCTACAGTTTTTTTTAAAAGTTTTGATGGCCTGGTAATAATACTTTTAAGCCAAGCCTTATTTTTTCTTATATTCTGTTAATGAAAAATAAAACGTAATGAGATGAAGTTGATTAATTTGAAACTTGAATCAATTTGGGTCAAATTAAATGAAACGAATTGAGATAGGACTGAGACTTATTCTGTGAGCTTTTTGTAAGAACCCCAGAAGCTACGAGTAGCAGCTTTGTTTCATTTTTCCACATTTGTGCACTTTCACAGATGTTAAATAGTTACTAAACCACCGTTATTGCACATTTAAACCTGAAGAAACATTAAATTAATAAAATAAAACAATTCATACATCATCTCTCCTAGCGTTCCCGCCAAAGTGATGTGTAGAATTATAATAATATGGTCTTAGTGTAGCATTAGATTATAACGACATGCGTGTGAATTTTTAATGATTATATATGTAGAAAACCTTTTTAAAGAAGCGAACTTATCCACAGAATTCTCATCATTGTTCTCTTTAAAGTCATTTGCATTTTATAAGCTTAACATATCTGCAACACTGATATAAGAAAAGACGCAGATCCTCACAACACACATTAGGAAGAGCGGGTGCTTATAATCTCAGCCAGGAGAGGTAATGCTCGCTAAGACTGTTCGAGTGCCTCCGAACCAGATTTCGAGGTCATCGTAGCCTAAATGATAAGACGCCCGGTGCATTCGTACCTTGCGATGGCACTGTCTCGGTGTTCAAATCTCGCAGAAAGAATCGCTTCTACGGTGAAGGAATAACATCGTCTAATAAAATTTACATAACCTTCTTCAAATGAGGCTTGTGGAGAGTGCTACTGGCATTGCTGACGCCCATGGGCGATGGTAACCACTCACCATCAGGTGGGCCGTATGCTCGTCTGCTTACAATGGCAATAAAATAAAATAAATCAAATCTGCAAACTTAAAATATGCGTAATTACACTAATTACTGTCTATTTTTTTATTTATTGCTTGAATGGGTGGACGAGCTCACAGCCCAACTGATGTTAAGTGGTTACTGGAGCCCATAGACATCTACAACGTAAATACGCCATCCACAATTGCAGTCGTCGTGGCCTAACGGATAAGACGTCCGGTGCATTCGTATTGAAGCGATGCACCGGTGCTCGAATCCCGCAGGCGGGTACCAATTTTTCTAATGAAATACGTACTCAACAAATGTTCACGATTGACTTCCACGGTGAAGGAATAATATCGTGTAATAAAAATGAAACCCGCAAAATTATAATTTGCGTAATTACTGGTGGTAGGACCTCTTGTGAGTCCGCGCTGGTGGGTACCACCACCACCCTGCCTATTTCTGCCGTGAAGCAGTAATGCGTTTCGGTTTGAAGGGTGGGGCAGCCGTTGTAACTATACTTGAGACCTAAGAACACATATCTCAAGGTGGGTGGCGCATTTATGTTGTGGGCTGTGAGCACGTCCACCATTCTAAGCAATAAAAAAAAAAAAACCTTGAGATACCAGTTTTAAGGTATCAGTATAGTTACAACTTACAGTCCGCGCGGATAGGTACCACCATCCCGTTTATTTCTGCCGTGACGCAGTAATGCGTTTCAGTTTGAAGGGTGAGGCAGCCGTTGTACTGTAAAAACTGAGACATACAACTCATCTTTCAAGGTGAGTGGCGGTATTTATGTTTTAGTTGTCTATGGGCTCCGAAGACCATTTAATACCAGACTGAACGTGAGCTCTTTAACACTTCATTACGGATCCTGCTTTTAGGTACCACAAGCACCTATCACCGTTCTCGTTGAACCCGTCACTTGCGACGAAGGGCTCGACGAGCGAATTAACCCACAGACACACAGCCCACTGAGTTTCTCGCCGGATACTGCTCTTGTTAGGGCTAGTGTTAGCAACACTCCAGTTTGAGCCCCGTGAGCTCACCTACACGTCAAACCTACATAGGCCTACATAGGCATAAACCTACATAGGCTCAGCATAGGTAGGGAAATAAAATAAAAAGTCCACCCATCTAAGCAACAAAAAAAGGGTTAACAGCTCAAGTGCGGCTGCTTCGCATGTGTAACTTTTAATTGCATGCGCTTAGTAGATTCGGCAAGAGACACAGCGATATTGTGTTGAAATAAATTAAATAAACTTAACATACCTACCTAATACTCTATCCACCTACTACGAAGGAAGATGAATGTGGTCGGATATGAAAATAAACAAAAAGTAATTGGCTACGATTTATTGAATACAATTTAAAAATTGAATAATAATGTCAATCCACTCGAAAAATAATTAAAATGTAACATTCTAAAATAGTATGAGCTTCTTGCGGCATTTAATTGAAACATGACAAATTTTATCGAAGTCAAAAGAAATCTGATACATAAAAAAAAATGCCGATGTATTGAAATTGTAAAACATTTCGATAATAATGTCGATATTGAAATATCAATTTTATTAAACTTATAACAAGTTCTCCCCTGGAAAAATTACCCACAAATGCAAGAAATACTCAGCATGTTAACTTTTTTCTTCAAAATACAATGCTTTTCGAAAATAAAAGATAGCTTATGGGGGTTACTTTTGATCGGGGTTTTTTTATACATTTGTTACTACAAACAGTATAAACTTTAAAAAGAAACTTAAAAATCTACTACATCTTTGGAATGTAGATAAAACTTAACTATAACATCGAATAAACTTTTTTAAATGGTTTCTAAACCAATTACAAGGAACAACATTTCGTAATATAAAAAAATAAGATTAAAATTAACACATTGTCACATCAATCGGGTAATGGACAACGGAAATATACGATTAACAAACTTAGGATTGTAACTTCTAACAAATGCTAGACGTTACAACGATTTATATTGATGTTATTAGGAATGTTTGGCATCACATGTGCTAAGCACATTAGGGAATATCTTTACATTTAATACCACAATATAATTACCATATATGAGTCGTCTATTATCAAAGGTGGCAATCTGTGCATTTGGACAAAAATTTTTTATTGATATTTCAATACAGATTGATTTGAATATAATCGTCTCCTTCAAAGAATACGGTTAAAAACCTGCATTAAATAAAGGTTAATACTTAACCTGTTATTTATCTAAGATGTCGTTCAGAAGAGTTTTGTGACTGCCAATGGAATACAAAGTCAATAATTCGTTTTTCTGATTTACCAATAATTATCCACAAGTCACATTGCCGGCTTTGATACTAGTCGACTCATATAATACTGTTTCAAAGACTTAATATACTTTAAATAGACAGAGATAATTGATTAATAGGTACATATATATGAGACCATTCAACTTACATAGTTACTCTAACACAGATTAATATTTTAATTTACTACGATAATGTAATTTGGATAATATTCCTATCAAAATCAAGTAGGTAAAAATAAAGTTTTTATCAAAAGGCAGATAGTTAATATAATTTTGAGATCTTTGTTTCTAAAAAATATATTTTATCAAAGCACCGCTTGCTCAGATATGTTAAAATGAGCACCTAAAATAAAAATAAAATAGTTTGTTACTTTAACAGAGAATACTGTTTAATACTATAATGTCTTCGAGTATTTGATGTTTCTAATACTGATAAATTAAATTTTAAGCCGAATTTACATTACGAAATTAGTGGCGTGAAATTAATTTCGTGACATTAGTTTTACCAACAGTTTCACGTGTAATTTAATACGTTCGTAATGCATGAAAATTAGTTTCGTGCCCTGCGCGATTTTTTGGTGAAATTAGTGTCATGCAACTAATTTCATAGTGTAAACGCGACGTGAAACTAATGTCGCGAAAGGGCCTGCGCTGTGCGGACGTGTGTATTGTTAGTTCGGACGCGCTTCAAGCGTTGAAAATGGCAAATCAATGATGGAGTACAGAAAAAAATATAGATCTTATTAATGAATATCAATGACAAGGGTCCCGAAACACCTATAGTAAAAAATCAAAATTATCTTCACTCATTCGAAAATAGTTTTTATAACTCTCAGGATCTTCATCTGCTAATTCAGAGACTAACTTCATTGCACCTAAATGCCTTCTTGTTGACCATCCTCGAATCAACCAACTTTTTTTTTTCTTAATAGTCTTTTTTTAAGTTTATAGGTATATAAGCATTTCTTTAGCTACATTGAATATAGCAAATTATAGCTTTGATGCTGAAGGCGCCATGGTTACTGCGATACTGTTGGTTTCGCGACACTAATTTTTTAACGAAATTACTTTCGCATATATCGAAACTACTTTCGTGAAACTGAGCTCAACATGCATGACACTAATTTCGTAATGTAAACTCGGCATTACTGTTTATACGTAAGTCATTTCAGAAATATTAACCTAAAAACGAAATAAGGTGAGAGAGAGAGAGAGAGATGACAAACAGTAGTTTTTTTTTATAACAATTTTATAATTAGACTTAAAGAACAAACACAATTAACGCTTCTCATCAATTTCTGCACATAATAAACCAATAGTTTTTAATTATCAAGTATAATTTAACAATTTAGAAGATATAGGTAGGTATAGCCCAGGCAAAGATTAGTCCACAGATTGAACACTTAATATTTAAGGGCTCGTCGGAATGTGGACGCCAACGTAGAAAAAGCCGCAGTTTTTCAGAGTGAGCCTGAATGCGCATTTTATTTTTGGTAATTAAAAAGTAATGGTATGCGCATGAGTTGACTTACATTTTGGTATACAGCATGGCAACATTTTTCATAAAATAATTTTTTTAACGACATTGCAAGTTTCTCAAACTCTTATAAATGTAGCGAATGGTTTGAAACGATCTATCACACAAGTTAACATTCTAATATCGAAATCTAACACGAAATCACAAACACAGTTATTTAATGATTATTGAAATTCTAATTCTATAAATTTGATTATTAATATTATTTGATTGATTTTATTATTATATCTCGATAAAAGAATTAAAACATTTCCATCGATAATTATAATTAGTAATAAAAGCTGTCATGTATTTAAAACTTAAATAGTAGATAGGCGGAATGCTCCACAGCGGCCCTCTCTTAACCAGGATTTTTAACTTTGGTTCCAATAAATTTTGTAAATAGTAACTATTAGTATTTCTAGCCTTCAAATATTTAAACTTAGTCTAATTTTAACTTTGGGATTCGATTAACATAATAATATGACTATTGGCTCGCTTGTGGTTTGAGATAATTACAAAATAATTTGAACACATCATTTGAACATAATCTCTCGACAATACCGTATCACGTTTTGAGACATCACGATTACTTTAAAATCGATTCTTCCAATTAATTCGGCATCACATTTCTATAATTACCGATTTCTAAACCCTTATATTGTCATCATTAGCCTTCTTCGAATATTTTCCATCCTTACAATTCTATAATAATATAATTAAAATTTAAAATAAAGCAATTGCCGGTCTTATATAGCGGTGGGTCGTCAGTTAAAAGAAAATGAGGTAGTAAGGATTATATTAAAAAGCCTCAGTTGATACAGAGAGACACAGTAGGAGTGTTTCTGAAAATGTATGGAAATTAATCGATCAATTATAATATCGTGCTGCTTGTTGAAGTCTAACGCTTCACAAGAAAAGTGTATACACAGCTCGGGCATTCAATATACTGAACAGGTATTACAGCCGCCATTTAACTAGTTAAACCACCGATCTAACTTACGGATTCATTTATTTTGGGTTATTTTGGAGTTATTGGTAATATTGGGCTCACGTAACCGAGAATTTAACGTTACGTCATGAGTGCGTGAACAAAGGAGGACACTATAAAGTCGACTGTCTCTCTCTAGGGCCTGATGTGCGTAACTTGTCGATGGCGAACTCTAAGAGGGATTGCTGTCTAACATTAATACTAATGAACGAGCTATAACTCACAAACTATTGAGCGTATTGAGATTCATCAGATACAATATTTTTCTACTAATTGGAATATATTTTATTTATTAGTACTTATATAACTAAGAACGTCGTACAAACGCTACAAAAAATATATATAATATATATATATATATATATAAAAAAAAATTAAAAAAAATGATTAACGTTATCGTCAAAATAAAAAAAATAAAAATGTTGTGCCTTTTAAAAAAAAAGGAAGTTTTGTTAAACATCCGTCTATTCTTGTTTTGACACCTCAATGTGTCTGAAAAGCGGCAGGATCTCATCGACCTTTCTGTCCAGTTCGTCGGTTTCAATGTTGTCACTGTCGAAACCAAAATAGGTGCCGAGTTCGCGGCACATCTGCATGTAGAGTTGCCACTTCTTGTCCTTCCGGAGACACAAGGGGTTGCCAATAATGATAAGTTTGGCTTTCGCACGTGTCAGCGCCACATTGAAACGCTGCGGAGTGCAAATACAGTTGAGTCAGGAACGCTTCCGCTTAATAACATTACAATGCTATAAACTTAGATCGATGTACTAAAAGCGATGCAAGTAAAATACAAATGGTACTGGTGGTAGGACCACTTGTGAGTCTACGCGGATAGGTACCACCGCCCTGCCCATTTCTGCCGTGAAGCAGTAATGCGTTTCGGTTTGAAGGGTGGGGCAGCCGTTGTAACTATACTGAGACTTTAGAGCTTGTATCTCAAGGTGGGTGGCGCGTCTACGTTGTAGATGTCTATGGGCTCCAGTAACCACTTAACACCAGGTGGGCTGTGAGCTCGTCCACCCATCTAAGCAATAAAAAAAAAAACAAATGTCAAAGTTCAATAAGCTTTACCTTATCATCAACCAGGAAGCCGAGCTGGAACTTGGCGTCGTGCGCGAGGAGGTCGTTGTTGGCTCGAACCGTGGACACGACGATGACGCGCTTCTCTTTCCCTTGGAACGACTCGACCGTGCCGACTTCAATTTTTTCGTAATTATTGCTCGAGAGCCATTTCTTGATGTGATACGCCTGAGAGAAAATGTTTAATCTATACTAATATATAAATCTACAGTGGTTTTTACGGATGTTCCGTTATAACTACTGAACCATTCATCCGATTGATTTGAAACTTGGTATCCATATAGAAAATACATGTACTTAATGGATAGATATTTATATGAGTGTTGGACTCCCTACACCAGTTGCGGGGGCGTTAATGATGAGTCTTTGTGGGGGTGAGAAATAATAATGTTAACTTTAAATGCCCAGCGAAGCGGACGGGTACATCTAGTGTATTATAAAGTTGGTTACTGGAGTTCCGTCACACAAGGGGCCCGACTCGCAGTTGTTTACTGCTCCGTAAATTAACGTAAAAATACGAAGCAATTTGCATTATTTATTTCGAGACAATAACACAAACCGGTGCGACTTAATAGGATTAATGTTATTAAGTTATCTGATTCTTTGCATTTTCATTGATAATCTCGTAACAATGAATGCTGTTTTCTATCTTAATAATCTGACAATAAACATTATAAATACGTGTTATATTTTAAGAAATCAAACATACTTGTCGGATGTACGGAGTGATGACGCCGATATCTTCCAGTTGGATTCTATGATCGTTCACGAGAAACGTTATGTACATCTGGACGATTTCTAACTCAGAGTTATTGTAGAAGCTGAAACAAAAAATAAAATAATGAAGTATTCGATACAAGCATTAAACTTTATTACGTATGTTTGGTTTTGTTAGAGATTTGGTCTAAAAACGTCTATTTATATNGATGTACGGAGTGATGACGCCGATATCTTCCAGTTGGATTCTATGATCGTTCACGAGAAACGTTATGTACATCTGGACGATTTCTAACTCAGAGTTATTGTAGAAGCTGAAACAAAAAATAAAATAATGAAGTATTCGATACAAGCATTAAACTTTATTACGTATGTTTGGTTTTGTTAGAGATTTGGTCTAAAAACGTCTATTTATATAATGTTTTGAATCAAATAAATAATTAAAACATTTTAATCGTGATGCTACGATGATTAAGTGGTACCTTTATTTTTTGCAGATAAGAAATATCAGCGCAAAGTAGGTTTTTTCTTTTATTGTTATTATTATTAGTTAGATGAGTAAATGACCTCACGGCCCACCTGGTGCCAAGTGGTTACCAGAGCCCATAAATCTTAGTTTTACGGTACAACGGCTGCGCCAGTCTTCAAACCGAAACGCATAGCTATTGGCACGGCAGATATAAGCTGGGAAGTTGTACGTACACGGTGTGGGCTCACAAGTCGCCCTGCCACCAGTAATTACGCAAGTTACAATGTTTCGTCACTATCCGTAAACGGCCGTCTGGTGTAGTGGCAAGTGACATGGTTACTACACAAGGAGGTCGCTGGTTCGAATCCCGCCAAGGGAAGATATTTGTATGATAAAATTAAATATAAAATGTATTTTCCAGGGTCATGGATGCATATTATATATAGGTATGTGTATAATAAAAATCTTATATTTATTTCCGTTATCTGGTACCTGTAACACAAGTTCTTTACGAACTTAGCACGGGACCAGTTAACGTGGCGTGATCGTTAGTGTAAATATTTTTTATTTTTTATTTATTATTATCCGCACTTCGGTTACGAGAGCGAGACGACTGTTATACAATGCAAGCCCACTGAGTTTCTCGCCGGATCTTCTCAGTGGGTCGCGTTTCCGATCCGGTGGTAGATTCTGAGAAGCACTGCTCTTGCTAGGGCCAGTGTTAGCAACACTCCGGTTTGAGTCCCGTGAGCTCACCTACACGTTAGGTTGAAGCTGAAATAGCCTCTCAAGGCTAATAAGCAACTTAGTTAGAAAAAAAAAAAAACAATACAACTGTGCATTCGAGCTAGTGTCTCTGGCGATGGCATACATATCGACCCTTGAAAGGCAAACTGATAGGCAATAACCATATTCGATGCAAAAATATATATATTTCTAGTTCTATTAAAATCATTTCAATCATACAGCTAGATTCGTAAAAATAGAATTTTTTTTCAGATATTTCAACTTTAAATTAGTCTACTGTAAAGTTCACGCATTGTCGCTTAGTCATGTTTGCCTTTGAAGTGTCGATATGTATGGTGTTTACAGACCTCTGAAACCACGAAACGAGACACCGAGCGCCCAACTACTACGCCCAAGGACTACTTTTTTTATTTAGTTTTTTTAATATTTTATCCTGGACCACGACAAGTAACGATATCAGCAGTGTCTAACATTATAAGTCAACTAACCTCGGTGACATGCCGACTTTCTGCTCCTTAGACAGGACCCCGTGGAACATAATGGCGCGGCTGGATGGTTTCTCGCCGGATAAATCGGTCTTGCTTATCGGATCTTCACTAGCGTGAGCCTGCAGAGAGACGGTATTGTTTTAAGTTGCATATTGCATCGCTCGTGGACCTTAATGTTAGGGGCAGACCCACACCGCTGCCTGTGGCTGAATACTCCCCGTTTCGTTTGCTGAAGGACATGTTCTAGTTCATTCCAAAGCCGGTAATTGGCAAATGAGATCTCTGAAAAGGCATTGTGGATGAACGTAGTGGTTTTAAATGGTATACATAGAACGGAGATGCGTCGAGGAATATTCTTGAGGAATTGCCTCACTTTACAGCATTTTCATAAGTTAATTTTACCAGTCTGGAGACATCCGTTTTTCGTGTTGATATTATTTAGAAACAGCTTATTTCGGGTCACGATATAATGAAATTTATGCATATTTTAGCTGTCGTTTACCTGATATTAAGTTTGATCAGAAATTGTTGGGGAGACCAAAACTGTGCATTGTATCGCTTTTTTATGCTATGTTTATTTAATATTTACTGGCGTCTATATAGGTGGATTTCCTCGCTCATTTGAAACGGGAGGTCTGTTGTATCGCAATAACGGTTATCCTAGTCTCGAACGAGAAATTATGATTTCTTAGTTGTTTACTGTTTGTTGCGGCAAAAGTAGGCCGAGCGTAGCATTAAGTTTGTAAGGGGTTGATTTAGTTCGACAAAGGCTCCCCTCAAACCTAGTTCGAAGGAGGACTTATTGCCAAAGCTATAAAACGGGTTTACTAAGTGCATATACATTTAGATTGCAATCCAGATGAGATCTAGGTACTACTTGTACAATTTAGCTGATATGTACTGTAATTATTTTAATGTTTTGTGCGAGTAAAAAAAAAAAAAAAACGTATCTATAAACTCACTCTGAGCTGTCCCTTGTAGAACAACTCGTTAGGGATGTGCAGTATGTCCGGATCAGATCTGAAGTTATTACGTAGCAGCATTATATAGTTGCAATCGTTCTTCACGTCGTTGTACTGAGGAAACGTTTTCATCAAACGTTCCATGAGCGATAGACCTGCAATAAAACGTCTTATTATACGTTTAAAAGAGGCAGTTGAACATTCATCACAATCTGCGAGAATAATTTGAACTTGGCGAACGTTTTTGTTCTAAATGACGTCACAACTCGTGACGTTGCGTTCAGTCGATTCCTGTAATGTTTTCTTGTCGATATTTTGAGTCATGATGGTTATTTGATATTATGAATGTGTACCTTCTTTTATTCTGTTTCGTTCGGATGTAAGATTTTTTTATTTTTTTTTATTGCTTAGATGATGTACGAGCTCACAGCCCACCTGCTGTTAAGCGGTTACTGGAGCTCATAGACATTTACAACGTAAATGCGCAACCCACCTTGAGATATAAGTTCTAAGATCTCAAGTATACTTAGAACCGTTTTTGTGTAAAAAGTAGGCAGTATCGAAAGTAAAACTTAAAAAAATTCGGTATTAAGTCGAAGTCAATGGCCGCATCCTCCAACTAGCTTTACTTTCGATTGCTGCTTCACTTAGTAAGAACTTCCCGGTGAATAATGTTTATGCTTTCATTGATGTTTCTGTTTCAGGGACAGTATTATACCTTCTATTATAATTACATTTGGTTGCTAGCAGAAAATTGCTTTATTTATTTATTAATTTAGTCAACTGCGCGCTCTTCAAACTGAAACGCACGATTGCTTCGTAGCCGACATAAGCAAAACAATGGTACCTCCCCGTGCGATTTTATTCCTAACTTCTCTCAACGAGAAATAAGAATATATCTATCTATCTATAGCAATTTTCAAATATTGAAAGCTTTTAAAGAAATTTTCTTTGTAATAGTTCGACCGTTTTGCCACCATACACAAGCTTAAATACTTACAGGTGACAGTTATTCAACAGCGTATACAATACATACCGAGGCCAATTTCTTTGGCCTTTTGTGAAATGATGACAGGTCCCAGTTGCAGGGGATCTCCGGCCAGTACCAGGGAACCAGCGGTAGACAACAGCCCGCAGATCGGGATGAGACTGGCAGGCTCGGAAGCCTGGGCCGCTTCGTCGATGAACAGATGCGTTATGTGACACGTGCGATTCTTACTAAAACTTCTGTTTTCAAAAGTAAATTATTTTTTATTAGCTTCAGACGTATGTATGTTAGTATGTATGGAATCTTTGAACATGATTTTGACCCCCTTCATAACGTCGGATTAACTCAAAATTTGGTATACTTATTAAGGACCGATGACAATTCAATATTAAAAATTGAGAAAAATTGAAATTCTACTAAAAAATAGAAAATAATTTTTAGTACATTTGAATTAAAAATTGTGTAAGAAAAAATGATTTTATTGTAAACAAAAACATCCTTCGCTTCGTCTTTTCCTACAACCTAATTATTAAATTTGTTTTCGTACGTACCCGCTGAATTTGGCGGCATGCGATAACGTTGTAATGACGATCGCGTATTTCTGGAAAGCTGTGAAACTCACAGACCAAAAGTCTTTGGTACTTGTACCGTTCGAAAAGGCATGTAAGCATTCTGGTAGTGTTGCCCTAAAACAATTCGAAACTGTTTAATCACAAATGAGCGTACCATGACAGTTGTATAATAATGAACAAAATACTAACAACACTGTCATAATATGCGACACGTTATCCAACGATATTAACATAAATAAAGTTTACAAGTTTTATTGATGCATTTAAATATTCGAATTCTTCAAAAATTGTTTTGGTTTGAATTGTTTTCATAAAGGCGTAAAATATATGTAAAGAAAGTCTTGTTTCTTTCTTTAATTTGAGTTATGTCACGCATGCGCGTGTTGTAAAGTCAAAAAGGCAGCCTTGACAGAGAAACAATATGACTTATTAAGATTATAGATTTCGTAAAATTTTAATAAAATTAATTTCTATTTAGATAACTACAAGATTATAAAATAAACTTTAAATGTCGTTTCTTTGTTCTTTCAGGTTAGTGTTATAGTGTAATATGGTCCGTAAGATAACTTGATTAAAACTAATAAAATAGATCTTTGTTCTTTCAGAGCAACACATGGAAGTTTCTATTATAACAATACAACATTACCTATATATGAAGCTTATTAATCTTATATCTTATCTTATATTATTCTTATATATATGTTACCGGAAATGTATGAAATCAAGGAATTGTATACAAATCCTAGGAAATGTGTACAATTCCGATACTATTTAGGAAATGTATAAAATATTGTTTGAAAAACTATTTAATGCATAGGTATCCTAGGAAATGTATAAATTTCCTCGGAATTGTATATAATTCCAATATCGTATTAGGAAATGTATACAGTAAATGCTTTCTGGAATAAAACACGTTGTTAATAATATTTTTTTATTATAACACTTATTGAGACAATCGGATAACAGTCATACCGTAAAATAATAATATTATGTTCATATTATCTTACCAATTAAAACTTCTAAAATCAAATATCTATAACTTTTAACGTATCACAAAATCAACTTATATTATCTAATATATAAAATTCTCGTGTCACAGTTTTCGTTGCCATACTCCTCCGAAACGGCTTGACCGATTTTGATGAAATTTTTTGTGCTTATCCGGTATCTATGAGAATCGGCCAACATCTATTTTTCATCCCCCTAAATGTTAGGGGTAGTCCACCCCTAAATTTTATTTGTTATTTTTTAGGCAAAAATTTTTGTTTTTATTTTTTTATGATACAACATACAAAAATACATACAACCCTAAATTTTCACCCCTCTACGATCAACCCTTACTTTTTATTTGCTAATTAAAAACTTTAAAATTTTTTGCGAGAATTTTGTTTTTATTTTGTCATGACGTAAAATAAAAAAATAATATTACTCTCAAATTTTCACCCCTCTACGATCAACCCCTATTTTTTATTTTTTTATTATAAACTTTAATTTTTTTGGCATGATTTTCATTTTTATTTTGTCTTAAATTAAAATAAAAAATTTGATGTTACTCTCAATTTTTCATCCCTCTATGATCAACCCCAATTTTTTATTTGTTAATTATAAACTTTAATTTTTTTGGCAAGATTTTTATTTTATATGTCATGACTTAAAATTAAAAAAATCATATTACTCTCAATTTTCACTCTTATACGATCGACCCCTATTTTTCCATCCCGATTAATATATTTTTTATTCTATGCACAGATCCGCAATAAGGTTGCAAGATGGCAATCAAATATTATAATTGTAGTACGATAAATTCTTATTCAGAGTTTATCATTTCAAGTTCTTTTAATTATGATTTTTTTTAAATTGAATTTGATCTCCCGCCCTCGCCGGTCGACTACTGATCAACTATCAATCGATCAGCTATCCCCGCCAGATGTCACCACTCATCCAGCAAAGATCACGTAGTATGGGTGAGGACGAAGCCGGTCTCCTGTCTTACTTACTCACTATACATCACATACACATTATACACTTAATATATTTGAGAGCTATACAATACTATACATTTTTCAGCCATGTTTTTTTGGTTTTATTTGGGTATCAATAGTATGTTCAGTAGGTCTGATAATCGGCTACTATCTATTTTTCATACCCCTAAGTGAAAAGGGTTGTCCACCCCAAACATTTATTTTTTATTTTAACTTTTTGGATATATTTTTTTTGTTTATAATGNCCATGTTTTTTTGGTTTTATTTGGGTATCAATAGTATGTTCAGTAGGTCTGATAATCGGCTACTATCTATTTTTCATACCCCTAAGTGAAAAGGGTTGTCCACCCCAAACATTTATTTTTTATTTTAACTTTTTGGATATATTTTTTTTGTTTATAATGAGGTATTATGTGGTTAAATGAGGTTTTTTTTTTCTACAGTAGAATTTCCCTAGAAATCTTATTTAAGGCAACACAACGTTTGCCGGGTCAGCTAGTTTCTTATAAAATCAAATTTTCATTTGGCAAGTAATCAGTTTGATAATTAAGTAATTATAAATGTCAAAGTATAAAAGTAAATCTTTATATATTATAATACTTTGTCAGTCCATATAGCTATTTATTTTTGCAGGGTAAGCTCGAATGGCATTTGGAAGTACATAATACTTTATTTTTAAAACACAGACATTTTGCTGTAGCACAGTTTTTCTTGCAAAGGCATTTCTTAAATCCCTGGCCGGTTCCAGTGGATTGCAAGTTGGCAACTGACCGTAGTGCAATCTCGGTACTCGGTACATCGTCTGCATCAGTAAGAACTCTTGGACACACATTAATATGAGATCGAGCATATAATTGTTTTAAGATACCGTTCTTGGTACCAATCTGATAGAGTTCGTCATCGGTTTTAGTCAAAACTACACCAATAATGTTACGTGCATCACCTCGTCCTCTATCAACCTCAGGAACTGCAATTCGTACTGAAGCGCCAATAGGTACAGGGGCCAACTTCTTTTCACTCAATTTCAGCATTTTTTCGGCTTGTTGTTGTAGGTTTATCTTAGCATTTTGACGATTATCTAGTAGTTTATCTTTTTTTGAACATATTGGACACAAAACTTTAGATCCAAATCCTTCATCGGGTGATTCTTCAGCAACAGCGCAAATAGCGTGGATTGCACATCCACATTCTCTACATGTATGAGCTCCTGTAGTTTCTTGTGACGCTGCATTGGAGGGTGCAATTTGGAGGTTGCGTGTTTGTTTCGTGTTGATCTAAAACGTCGTTAGAAACTTGGCTTACCTCTGCCTCCGTGTTCACCTTAAAGAGTTCACATGCAGAGACTTTGGGATCTTCCTTTTTGGTATGGTCCTGTATGATTTTCTCCAAATTTTCAGTTTCAAAATTTTGCGTGAAATCATTGGGTAACTGTAAACCAACTTTTACTTTACACCCAAAAAGAGCCTCATACGGAGATTGCTTGATACCAGCATGCATAGCTCTGTTTTTCATCAATTGGACAAATCTCAAGCCCTCACTCCAATGTGAATTATCATTATCTTGCATCCACGTGGTTAGCATATTTTCAATATCCTGATTCGCTCTTTCCACACTCCCCTGACTTTGCGAATGCCTGGGTTTACCATGAATAATTTTTAAAGTAGGCCAATATGTTTTTAAATTGTCAATAATTCGGTTTGAAAATTCTCTGCCGTTGTCAGACTGAAGTATTGCAGGAGCACCAAGTAGAGTAAATATGTCCAATAAAGTGTGAGCCACTTCCTCAGCTCGTTTTGTTTTAAGTGGCCGTAAAACAACAAATTTTGTTAAATGATCTTGATACACCATTATAAATTTGTTATTACCGTCGGGCTGGGACTGAAAATCTATCAGATCTACTTGGCACCTAGAATTAAACTCTGAGGATATAATAGGCTTCACAACAATGCCTTTTTTAATGTTTTTTTGCTTTTGTTGACATGGTTCACAAAGTTCAAGATACGTTTCAATATCCTTACGTGTTATGTTTTTGTAGTGACTCCATACCTGTTTCATCATGCGATCTCTTCCGCCGTGACCAATTCGAATATGAGCCTCGTGTAATATGTCGAATAACTCGCTACCACATGCGTAGTAAATAATAGTGCTTGTAGTTTCTTTAATAGGAAAAATAAGCTTACTGTTCTGGTCAATGGTAAGCACGTCGTATCGCCGCAATAACCAATAATCACGAGAAGTCTTTCTAGCAGTTGTTTTTGCCGTAGAAACTTCTTCAATTAACTCTTTATAACGTTCATCTTCAATAAAAGCAGTGTTTTTAGCGTTTCTTAGTATTCTTAATGACGCCAAAGTCCTATAAAATCGCTCTTTCATAAGCGCGATGCGTGATTCGGCAGCCATTTTTGAACAATAGCGACGTGCGTACGCACTGACAGTTTACAAGGCACTGCGCGATCGCCGGATCAGGCGAAGCAATACCCTCCCCTCGTCCCGCTGTCCCCGCGTACCCACCAATATCTTATACGGGCTCTACATTCGCCCGCGAACCGCGGCCGCGCATCACGGCCGCGATTCGCGCATGAACACGACGTGAAAAACATAGCCCTCTACACACGCAACCTTTCGCATTTACGTTCGCGCATTTGACTGAAATGGACGTTGAAGTTGCTGCTGCTCTGACATTGTGCGCCTTAGCGTGTTACAATTATACGTTTATAAAATCAAAAAAACAAATAAAAAATAAATGGAGGAGAAGAAGGTGGTGGATGACACAAATCCATCGCAACAATCCTTATCTTTTTTTCTATACGTTCTGTAGCTAGACATTAAGGAATCCTTTTTCTTCTTTAAATATGGCACAGGAATTTCCATAATTGCACTAATTCTCAGCCATGCATCATGTACTTTATTTTTGTTTTTATGATCTCCATGTTGAGCTTGCCAAAGCACGGGCTCAGCATGATAGCATTCAAGGAACGTTAGTTGCCGATCATTACTCCATTCGATACTCATGACGTCCGCTTGTCACTGCGTCTCGCACACAACTGCGAACATACTCGTGTGGATGCCTTCGCGTTCGCGCTTCGCAGGCCCTTTGTCGCGGGCCAGAAAACCGCCACCGGACGGGAAACGCCGCGAAGCGCGACCGCGAAGTCGCGAAACCATCCACACTCGCGGTTCGCGCCCTTCGCGGACATTCGTGCCGCGAATGTGGAGCCGGCTTTAAATATTTTACATTTCCGATTGCTATTTAGGAAATGTATAGATTTCCTAGGAAATGTGTAATGTGTAAGTATAATATAATTTATTTCACACATTTCCGTGCGATTTTAGGAATTACATACATTTCCTAGGAATTGTATACAATGACGGATTACATACATTTCCGTTAACATATATATAATAATGAATTGTTGTTCGTTAGTCTCGCTAAAACTCGAGAACGGCACGACCGATTTGGCTGATTTCGGTCTTGAATTATTTGTGGAAGTCCAGAGAAAGTTTAAAAAGTAGATAAATATGAAAATGCTCGGAATTAAATAAAAATAACAATTTAGTTTTCCCTTTGACGTGTCCCCCGTCGAACGGATTCCTTTTGTTTGTTTTAAGTTTATTTTATACAAAAGTTTAGATCTTTTATATATCGATTGAGGCACTACGAAGTCTGCCGGGTCAGCTAGTATTATATATTTAAAAAAAAAAATACACAGATTTTATTGCAAGAGTTGTGAGGATACAATACAATATTGGCGCTTACCATGTTCGATAAAAGGAGCTCGCTCTTAAAAGAAACTTTTCGGAAGGAAACTTTTTGGCGTACTTTATGAGCATCGTGGCCACGTTATCCGCCGCCATGTTGGAGTCGGTGCAGACAAGTATTCGATTTTTAGAGTTCCGCACCACAAGCTGAAAGATACAATTGTTATTTGTTGCTGTAGATGAGTAGATGTGCTCACAGCTCACCGGGTGTCACGTGGTTACCGGAGATCATTGACATCACAAGATTAACGACCACATAATACAGGTCGACAAAATGTATGTATGTCCTGGGTGTATATCTGACGGAGCAGGCTGGTTCCGTGGTGTTTTAAAATGATGACGTCACACTTGATGACGCCATTCTCTTCATCACTACCATTGCCTTCCACAGTGACAGTAATTAAGTCTCACTTTTACAATGAACTAGTAGTCCCGCAGTAGTCGAAATTCGACTATAATTAATTGAAATTATAAGTTTGAACATTATTATGGTTATATTGTCAAAGACTATTATACTTCTATAATTACAGATTTCACCAAGACTACACAATAGACAAATAATATCAAAGATAAACAATATTAACCTATTTTCAATTTGACCACAGACTTTAACTAAAGTTTGACCATAAACAAAGAGTATAAATACATATGTGTGTATGTCAAATACATGGCAGTGTGTGTAATGGTTTCTTTATTGATTGAATGTATCTTTAATGCATTATTTAAAAAAAATATTAGCTTTGTGCACTCCTTCTCTATATTCTCTATAAATGTGGAAAATTTCATACTCCTCCGTCCGCGCAATTTTTTAAAAAATGGGGTACAAAGTTTTTACTTCACGGATTAATATATAGATTACTGGTGGTAGGACCTCTTGTGAGTCCGCGCGGGTGGGTATCACCACCCTGCCTATTTCTAACGTGAAGCAGTAATGCGTTTCGGTTTGAAGGATGGGGCAGCCGTCGTTACTATACTTGAGACCTTAGAACTTGTATCTCAAGGTGGGTGGCGCATTTATGTTGTGGATGTCTATGGGCTCCAGTAACCACTTAACACCAGGTGGGCTGTGAGCTCGTCCACCCACCCAAGCAATAAAAAAATAAAAAAAGATTCCATCTATGTGTTAAATTTCCTTTTTTCCCTACCTATGCTGATGCCTTGAGAGGCTATTTCAGCTTCACCCTAAGATGTAGGTGAGCTCACGCTAGCAACCGCACGCAACCGGAAGTGTTATTATTATTATTAGTATGGGCTCGCCTGCAGGATGGCTTCGACGATGGTGACGGTCTTGCCGGTGCCGGGCGGCCCGTGCACGAGGTAGGGCGCGCGCCCGCTGCTGCCCGACACGATGTGCTCCACGGCTGAGCGCTGCTCCAAGTTGTCTCGAATGTTCACGTTGAAAAATCTAACGATTAAACACTTCTTAAGAACCTTTTTTTTATTGCTTATATGGGTGGACGAGCTCACAGCCCATCTGGTGTTAAGTGGTTACGTTCAGTCGATTCCTGTAATGTTTTCTGGTCGATATTTTGAGTCGTGATGGTTGTCCGATATTATGAATGTGTGTACCTACTTATATACTGTTTCATTCGATTGTAAAATATTTTTTTTATTGCTTAGATGGGTGCACGAGAGCACACAGTCCATTTGGTGTTAAGCGGTTACTGGAGCACATAGACATCTACAATGTAAATGCGCCACCCACCTTGAGATATAAGTTCTAAGGTCTCAGTATAGTTACAACGGCTACCCCACCCTTCAAACCGAAACGCATTACTGCTTCACGGTAGAAATAGGCAGGGTGGTGGTACCTACCCGTGGGGACTCGCAGGAGGTCCTACCACCAGTATACTCGTACAATACTCAAATAACGCTACCGGCCATTCTCCGGTGAATCTCTTAGTCCTGTTTAACATCACCCATGGAAAAGATAGCTGCTATTCTAGCCCAACACAATCCAACCAAAAAATTGGGGAGTTAATGACTCGTATATATTCACATATCATTTTGGTCAAACTGATATCTACTATTCGCAAATTAGAAGACTTATAACACTTTCATCTAAATTCGTTCTCAAAATTAATCTATTTACGCAAAGGCAGAGACATTGGCAACAAGAAAATTGGGAAAGATGAAATAATTCACACTTTACGGGTTCAGGACAGACGTAAGATAAAAAGAAAGATAAAAAGAAATGACTCACTCCGTTATTGGTTCTACTTTCTTCTTATTTGTATAGTGCGTAGGGAACAATCTGGGCATCTGTTGTTCGGCGAAGTGTACCGCCTGGTGCATCCGTTCCAAGGTCACGCGGGACATCGTGAACCGTATGTCGTACTTCTTAGTTTTAGAGTAGTTCTTAAAAAAGCTGCAAAAGTTTTATGTATATAATCTATAGTTATTAATATTATAAAGAGGAAAGATTTGTTTGTTTGTATTGAATAGGCTCCGAAACTACGAAACTGATTTGAAAAATTCTTTCATTGTTTGGAAGCTACACTATTCCCGAGTGACATAGGCTATAATTTTCTTTGAAAAAAAAATTAGGGATCCTTACTAAAACTCCAATAACCCAAGGTGTAAAAAAGTTACCTAAAATATTCTTTACATCGCGTGCCCTGCGAAAATTATTGATGATAGAATAAAATAATGTACTACAACTTTGTAGAACATATTATTATTTACAAAAACGTCATCGTATCGTTGAAATTTTTGTTAAAGACCCGAGCGGAACCGGAGCGGGCCTCTAGTTATATATATAATACAAAGACCTCACGACCCAACTGTTAAGTGGTTACCTGAACCCATAGACACAGACATGAGTTCTACGTCTCGGTTGTACTATTATGGGGGTGCCTAGGATTTTTTTTTTTAAAAAGAAAATTTTCGATTGACTCTGAGTTGATTAAAATAAAAGTTTTTTAAAATAGGTTATGTTTATGCATTTTTATGATAGTCCAAGTGTGGCGGGGCCGGGTTCCAGTTAAATCTATTATAGTTTTGTAGTAATGTAAGAAATAAAAATCACGTTGTCACGTTGTGTTGTTACTCACGTTGAATGCATGCCTTGTATAGTGACGTCATTCTCGGTTATTAGAGTGACGTTCGCTTCGAACATTATCTTCTCATTTTGCGGTTTAACGAACAAATAATCACCTGGAACAGTGCTCTTGTGGATAAATATTTTGTTCTACGAAATCAGCCTCCTGCTAATAAACATATTGGAAGTCCATACGGTAGGTCACCAACTTTACTATTCCTACCGGGAAGCATTTGCGCATTCCGATTTCAATGGTTGAGTAGGTTTATTACAATACTAGGGAATTCCACCTCATGTCGTATTAGATACTGAATGCATATTATAGTATTTATTAAATTTCTTCATAGAGATGTTTAATACGTGCAAAAAAATATATTGAAATTCGTAATAAAACCTATATATTCGTAATAAAATCTATACTATTATATAAATCTACAGTGTTTTTTCCGGATGTTCCCTTATAAGTACTGAACCGTGCATCCGATTGGCTTGAAACTTGGTATCCATGTAGAAAATACATGTACTTAATGGATAGGCTAATATTTATATGAGTGTTGGACTCCCTACACCAGTTGCGGGGGCGTTAATGATAAAAATCTTTGTGAGGGTGAGAAATAATAATGTTAATTTTAAATGCCCAGCGAAGCAAACGGTTACAGTTAGTTATCATAAATTAAAATTAGATGTGTTATACGTCACTTAATTTGATTTCAGACCACAAATTTGTTTAGGAAATTTGACATGACATGACAAAAAAATGCACATAACCAGACATTGGTCTGACAACGCTGACTTGTGAAAATCTGAAAATTCAGAAGAGAAGAACACGGCTCTTCCAAAAATTCTAGTGAAAGTCGGTAATTTCCATTTTCACCAATTCCATTTAATTCCAAGCACTTCGCCGTTTTAATTATTTACAGTTTATGAATAATAAATAACGAAGGAAACTGTCCATGTTGGCCATTATTAATAGCAGTGTAAGTATGAATTAAATTGGCAGCGTCGGACGGAATAGACAAACTAGGTTGATAAAGTAATTTGATTAATGTAGTAATTAACTGTGCAAATGATAATATGAAGTGAAATGAAATGAAGTTGATTAATATTGTGAAGAACGGCATGAAATGAAATGAGATGAGATGATATGGGATGAAAAATAATCTCAGTAAAATGGTGGTCATTTATTGAGACTTTCTGAGTGGACTTTTTGGAGGATCCCGAGAAGTTACGTTCAGCGGCTTTGTTTCATTTTGCCACATTTGTGCACTTTCATACATACTAAACAATTAATAAGCCACCGTTATTACACATTTAAACCTGAAGAAACATTAAATAGACAAAATAAAACAAATCACACAATTTCACTCCTCGCGCTCCCGACAAAAAGCCCAATTAATTGATTTGTTTCTTGTGGTTGGATGTTGGATATTTAACTTTTTTTATATTTTTAATGTGCGAGTAGGTTGCCGCCGCCTATAAAAGGCATTAGGCGAAATTGTTCGCAGGCTTTAATTCACACCCTTGACTTGTGGAGTAAACTGGTGAATGCGTGACGAGAGTGTTACGAAAAGTGTGATCGGGCGAGGCGAACGAAAGTTCAGAGGGAGGTATTAGTTAGGGCATATAGAAGGAGAGAGTGAGAGAGTGTTATGTTTCGTACATTACTGTAGGGGCAAGAGAGAGAGAGGTGCGAGCACAGGTTTTCTTTATCTCTTTCTCTCATGGCCGTACATTTGGTATATCTAAGACACGGTGCAGGCCTATTGTCCATGTCTATAGGAGCAACAGATATCTATTAAAAAATATTAAGTAATCAATGAATAATAAATTTCAATATTAATAGATAATTAATATATGCACATGTATGTACATGCATGTATTTGCTATACATATATATGGAGCTGATTGTTAAAAGTTTTACTTCAGTCGTATTGTCTAAAGCACACTTGTTTTTTAAAGATTGTTCACCTAAGACCGCCTTTGGGGATGTTAATTTTTAACAATATTACATTATTTCTTTGTCCTAAGCATATTTATTAATAATAAACCCTTCCATACAGCATACAGCTTGTGATAAACTTGATCACTTACCAACCAACAATGACGGTCTTTTCTCCGCTAAGCCGGGCACGACCAACGTGTACGACGATGGAATGCTACCGAGCTTTAGATTCACGCCTGTCATGTTGTAATTCTGAAAGCAATTTTCTAATTATTGACAACGGCTTTTGCTTTGCAACTCAACGATCAGTGTGTGCTTAGTGCGAGTTTGTAACGTTCTCGATAGCGTAAAAGTTAACTCAAATTAGTATGGGAGTTGGAACGTTTGCCTACGTTTGCCGCTAGGGGCGCTGTCCGAACTGCATACAAACTTGAGTTAACTTTTACGCTATCGAGAACGTTAGAAAACTCGTACTAAAAACACTGGCTTCAGGTGGAGTACTGCGCCCACTTGTGGCCCGATGCATCCGAACATAGATCGCCAGATTCGGCGTTTTTCACTCTCCGTCTAGTGGGATGCATACTCATATGCTGACATTAAAATACGACCAGTGTCGCCACTGAATTTGAGACACAAGTTCGAAGTCTCAATAGAGTTTTCTATGTGAAAGATAATACTAAGCCTATGCGACTACGTATTTAAAAGTAATACATGATAATGATAAAACAAAATACGACATTTTTATTTTTCGGTACCTAATAAATACCTTTAGATTATTCTTGAGGACAGTTTCTTCGTACCAGAGCAGATGATGAAAAAACTGAACATAGTTCATTTTGGTGATGCCTGTACTGAAAATTTTCCTAAAAATATAATTAATTTAGACCAGTTGTTCAGTCGGAATTAAAAACGTATAGACATATAAAAACGTGCAAAAATATCACAAAATCGACCTTAAATCTGCCACCAGCTTTGCTTTTTCTTGAGTGAGATTAGAGGGGCACTTTAACGCGGAACTGTAAATAGGCTTGTAATTCTTTGGCACTGTGAATATACCCTCTTCTCTTGTCCTGAAATTCAATACAGTTTTAATATCTCGATTTAAGTCATTTCATCTCGAGTACATTTCATTAGTCTTTAAGATACTTTACTTAGCTACGTGTATCATTTTTATTGTTACATTTTCAAATAATGTTAATTACTTTTAAATTTGGTAGTAATACACACTGTATTGAGTCCGCACCCGCATTCTGCTGCGAAAGTCGTTTGATCAAGTTTGAAGAACGAGACGACCGTCATACAATACAATTAAAATTCGACGTTCATGCCTCAAGGTGGGTGACGGAATTGATGCTATAATACTATGGGTTACGGTAGCTAATTAAGGCGACATGAACAATCAGCTACTCTGACAAGAATAGACGCTCACCAACGAAGAGTAATAATTTATTTTTCTTTTAATTCTCTGACAACACAAAGGATGTTCGATTTTTTAATTACTTGATTAACTTCAACAACAGCGAGTCGTGTATGCTGCGCTGAATGCGAACGTCTTACGTTTTATTTGATATTTTTTTAATTAGTTCTCTTATTTATTGTCTATAACACCAAAACCAGCGAACCAACGCCAATCCATGCATCCACAAGCAGCAAGGACGTTTCATACTTACCCCTCACGGACGCATCTGTATGTCTTTTCTGCCACAATACTTTGAAGTACAAAAGGACTGTACATTTTGTCGTGAAGCTTTTTCTGTTTTTCAACGTAAACGACCTGAAATCACACTGTATAAATATAATATATAAAAAAAAAACTTGCTTGTTAATACGAAGATATTTTTATTTCAATAATTGGTTTGGTTTATACGATAAATGGTTGAAAGAACGTTCGACTTCATAAGAATTGCTAAGAAACTCGTGAGTTTATTAGCTTAAAGAATTTATTAGGAGCAATATATGGAGATTATTGAGTTCAAACAATTGCGAGCACTTGTGCGTGCTTTGCATCCTTTGTTTTGAGATATAATATAACACATTATAAAGTTCTTAAGTAACAACGTAACTTTAACAAAATTTTGTTTTAACATTAAGTATTTCGTCGGCCGTAAGTATGCGTTTCTAAAATCATAGAATTCCAAATAAATATATTGATAATGAAAAAACGAATAAACAAAACAAAAAAAAGTTGATTACAGTACCCATTTAAATGTTTTGTCTCTTCTATTTAAGTTCTATTAATAATAAACAGATAAAATTGACCCTAAAATTGCCAATAAAAACACGTGTTTATTGCTTTGAAATTTTAAGGCCCAGCACACCATACAGACTATTGATTTAAGGGGTTTCTTACCACGATTTTCACATATAATGATGAATAATTAAAATTATTTTAAACAATAGTGTGTAATAACCGCGAAAATACGATTCGTGTCCAAATCCACGTTTCGATATAGATTTTATGACATTAATAAATACACTTCGGTATCGATGTTAGCGCTTTTAGTGGAAGTTTGGCACTTCCTCTGAGTGCGAAGCCACGATACGGCGGCTCAATGGATACATTGTTTATATTATGGCATCCGTTTACCGTTAATGTTATTTGAACGGTTACTTTGTATTTCAGAAACCCTGACAAGACCCCAAATGTCGTTATTAATTCATAATTATTAGTCAAGCCACGAACGAAGCTTAACTCTCTTTTAAGGAAATTAAATTATTTCTCACTGTTGTGTAAAAAAAACTTTGGAGGTGAGTTAAAATCAAGAATCATTTTTTTATTTATTTTTGTCGTTAAACCATATTTTGGTCAATGCTAAATGTACTATTAACATAACAACTTACTTGTGATCGACTGTTACGTGACGACGCAACAGCTAGAACTTTAATATATGTATATTATTGTATATACACAGTAATTTCAATTTTATACGAACTTATAGGTTGAAAAAAATTGGAAAATAACATAAACATGATTTATTACATTTAACAAAAATGTTAATAGAGTATTCTAGGGGATTCCCCTGCAATAGCCACTTTGTACAGAGTATTAAACCAGTATAAACAGACTCCATTAAAAAAACTACACTTCGTCATGTTATGATAGCATTGGATGTTCTTTTAATTTTGAGGTAAATTCAAGGTTTAGTTTTAGGTGCTCTACGTAAGTCAGTAAATATTATATTTTTTTGAAAATATTTCCGTGATGCATAGCGGGTCATAAGGTTGTATTTGTTTTTATGTTTGAGTGAGCCTTATTTTAATTCTTTAAGAGATCTTCACCATGTACAAAAACTAGACACATTACTATTTTTTTTTTTTTAAACAATCACGCCACGTTAACTGGTCCCGTGATAAGTTCGTAAAGAAGTTGTGTTACAGGTATCAGATAACGGATATAAATGTAAGATTTTTATTATACACATACATATATTTAATATACATCCATAACCTTGGAAAAGACATTTATATTTATCATACAAATATCTCCCCTTGGCGGGATTCGAACCCGCGACCCCCTTGTGTAGTGACCATGTCACTTACCACTACACCAGACGGCCGTTAAAAATATTTAAATATATATAAATATTTAAAAATACCCTTTAATTTTGACTCTTAAACACCTGACGAATTCAAGGTCAATAGCTTAAATAAAATAGAGCAGACAGGCTTTTCAAAGACATGAATTAGGTAAGGAGCATACTCTGTTTATTAAAAAGTGTCCATTAAAAATTAAATGATAACGGTGGCACCACCGTAGCAAGTCGTGTTATTTAAGAGATAGCCCTAAAAGTTGTAACCGCTACATACCTTTAATACCACTACGAACTATAGTATTATTTTATTGGGTTTTTGAGTTGTAATTTACTGCTTAAAGCTGAAAATTTTTTCAACTTGTCCCCCATATGACAATCCTCCTTACCGTACTGATATGAGGATTTATGTTTATGGACTAATATAGTGTTTGATACTTTTTGAACTGTATGCATACATTTGAATGTACTGAAATTAGTATAATTTAAAGAATTTAGATGTTTATGGGTTGTAGTAATCACTTTTCACCTGGCGCCTCTGTCACCCAAATACGCAATTTAAAAAAAACGCAATTAATTAATAAATAATAAATAAATATTTACTAAAAATCACGCAAGATTAACTGGTCCCGTGCTAATTTCGTAAAGAACTTCTATTACATGTACCAGATAACGGAAATAAATGTAAGATTTTATATTTATCTAACAAATATCTTCCCTTAGCGGGATTCGAACCCGCGACCCCTTTGTGTAGTGACCATGTCACTAACCACTACACCAGACGGCTGTATTTATAGTACATTTTACCTCCACTAATTTCCCCAACTTAGAATAGCTAAGAAATCTAACTTGAGCATGGGACGGCACATAATTTAAGGATTTTGGTACAAAAAAGGAACAGATATATTGTAAAAAAAAACTAACCATGTCTCTAACGATAACAATGTTTTCATTTGTACTGTTCATAATGAAACAGAATACTATTGGCATCACATATTCTCCAACGCTCGCTGATCTGAACATCACTGTAATTTTCTTGTTGAGCTTCGATTCTGAAAGAGCATCAATTTTAAAATGTGAATTTTTTTTTTGTTGTTGTTGCTTAGATGCGTGAACGAGCTCACAGCCCACCTGGTGTTAAGTGGTTACTGGAGCCCATAGACATCTACAACGCAAATGCGCCACCCACCTTGAGATATCAGTTCTAAGGTCTCAAGTATAGTTACAAATTAGCATTGTATCTATTTGGTTATAGTTGTTATTGAAATTCACAAATATTATTTCCTTCCGATCCACTAACGGTGCTTTTAGGTACCTCAAGCACCGGTCATCGTTCTCGTCGAACCCTCGAAGGGCTCGACGAGTAAATTAACCCTCAGACACAGCCCACTGAGTTTCTCGCCGGCTCTTCTCAGTGGGTCGCGTTTCCAATCCGGTGGTAGATTCTGGGAAACACGACACTTGCTAGGGTTCGTGTTAGCAACGTCGTCAGGTTTGAGTCCCGTAAGCTAACCTATTAGTTAAGGTTACGCTGAAATAGCCTCTCAAGGCTCTCAACTTAGGTAGGTTAAAAAAAAATGTATTAAATTTTTTTTTATTTAGGTAATTTACATTTAGATTATAATTTTGAAATTATAATTTGCAATAGGTAAAAGATAATAAGTAAAAGTTGTAAAGTACTTTGACTCAGAAGGTATGTACAAAGATTTAATCTGCATTATGGAAAGGTGCTCTCTTGTTTACATAATCAGTAACACTGGGCGTAGCTACACTATAATGTTCATGAAAATTGTTCGATTCTATTGTGATTTCAGAATATTTATGAATAATATAATTTAATCTGTAATTTATGCATAAGGTATAACATACCTAAAGATAATATATTTCTTTGCTAAATTAATGTAACAATTATTTATGTATTTATAACAAGTTTACAATACTTCAAATACAGACATCATCACTTAGCTCATTCTTTCCTAGAAATTTGAATTATTTGTCGACATAGACAATTTATAGGCCATTCGTCAGTTCTTTGAACTTACTCACATATCACACCAGTGAATATCACCTTTCACTGTAACCATAACAATATGGCGTAGTAAATATGCACTCATTATTAGTTCTGAATTTTAGTACCCCAGAATCATCATATCGACGCTTGAAAGGAAAACGTGACTAAGCGACAATAGCTGCTTTGTACATAAATGATAGGCAATAACCATATTCGATGCGCAAAAAATATATATTTCTAGGTCTATTAAAATCATTTCAATCCTACAACTATTAGCTAGATTCTATTACAGCTAGATTCGTTAAAATAAATTTTGTTTTCAGGTATTTCAAATTTAAATTAGTCTACTGTAAAGTTCACGCTTTGTCGCTTAGTCACGTTTGCCTTTCAAGCGTCGATATGGACTGCCGATAACTGGAGTTTCAACCAAGTGCTGAATATGAGAATGATGCGAACTTACTGGGCTTGATGATGTGTGGTGGAGAGCCTGCATCAATTCCGTGATCATTGATAGTAAAGTTTAATTTGGAATGCATTATTTGAGCACAATTGATTGAAAATTTGTCCTTCTTGGTGTCATTTAAGATTGTGAAAGTGAACTCTACTTGTTCATTTGGCTTAACCTGTAAAATAAGAAAGAAACAATGTTGGTCACATAACATTTTATTGTAAATTCCGTTAGTTATTTAATTTGTAAATCACCGTTAAATCTCAGTAGTCTGAATTCTCACTTAATATTTGGAGTGGATAATTTGGAGGTATGTTTATGTTGAAGTTAGCATGGTATGGACATGTGATGCTTAGAGAGAAGATGCATGTGACTAGGAGATTTATGGAAATGGTAGTGCAAGATAGAGGGAGAAGAGGACGACCAAAGAAGACATAGATGGAGTGTGTGAATGACGATATGAGAGAGAAAGGAGTGTTGAGATGACGGCTGATAGAAGAGAATGGAAGAAAAAAATTAGCTGTGCCGACCCCACGTAGTGGGATAAGGTGGAGAAAAAGATTATGTTGATGCTGAAGTTCTAACGCTATATGTGTATATATATCTGCATATATGCATATGTATATTTCTATAAACATATCTGTTTAGTTTAATTTAATTAGATTTGTACCTACAGTACATTGACTTTACATAATTGATAATTTATATCTTAAATTAATTCTAGGTAATCATAGATTGTTTTGTTTCCGATTTCGGTGTTAATGATATTTGTGACGGCACTAAGTGATGCATACACAGATACAACTTAGTTATATAGTAACCAAAAGAATACTCACAGAAACATTTATTTTTGACTCATAACACTGAGAATGTGTGGAGCTCGAAGATCTAACATCACATGATACAATGATACCCTTCTTATTTCCAACATTCTGTTTTCTGAATAAAATTTTCAATAAGATTAGTTTACATTTTTTAGAGTACTTTATCTTTATCAATGCTAGCACCTGATATGTTTTTAAATAACTTTTATAAAAAAAAATTTATCCCTGACTAGAGAAGATTTTTAGATACTTATTTAAATATCTGTCCTGTGCTAGATAATACAAATAGGATATTATTGTGAGTGGACAGGCGATACAAATGGTTATAAGTAGCAATTTAAATGCAGAGTTAATTATTGCAAACATCACACAGCTGATAGGCATACCAACAAGCAAACTGGTGTGCAAAAAATTTATAAGTTTTTCACAATTCAGAAGAACAGTAATAATTTTTTTATTATAAATTGAAGTAATATGTAACTGTATATAAAGGCCTCACTGTAGAACATCTGATTCAAAACTCAAATTTAACACTGAACATTTTGAAAGTTACTGTGAATTGCAGATTAAGTATATGTATATATTTTAATACAATATTCTCATTTTCGTACTTTCAAGGTTTGATACTCTACCTCATCAGTCTCTATAATCATTAATAATATGATTGCTGCCAACAAAGTTAAACTCTTTACATCCTAAAATATAAATGTGAATTATTCGACAGTCCAGTTCTGGAATCATAAGGTACCAGGTTTATATCTGAAACCTAGCCTGTTTGACCTAAGAATTAATAACAAAATGTACAAATTATTCTGGACTGTCTAAAAGTATAGATACCAATATGATGCATGTGCGTATTTGCTAGACTACGTTTTGGTTAGAAATGTGCTGTATTCAACTGCTCTTAAGCTGCTGCACTCAAGAAGTCTGGAGTAAAATATTTTTTCAAAAAAGAGAGGATCTCTTTCTCTATCTCTACATATTGAGGCGTAATGTCAGCAGAGCTATACAGGCCAAGGTAGATGAAGTTTTCAAGAAATTTCCCTTAACCTAAATTGGAGGCAATATTTTATGTTTTCAGTTGTGATTAGCTTATTCAAAAAGTAGTTGTAAATGTAGAGTTCTTCTTATAGAAAAGTGCATATTCAATGAACAGTATTGATTATCAAAGTTACTGATAAAGATAAACATATGGATATGGAATCATATTACATTTTCATGATGTCTATATTGCCATTTAATTGTTTAAATATAATATTGCAAGCATTTGAAACCTTGGTGTTTGTTATAACACTTTGGTAATATCTGTATTTTTAGCTGTGTTTCATGTCTAATGCTCTGAGTAATTGAAATGCATAATCCTATGATTTCGTTACAAACATAACACCACTTTGCACCTGACATACTTACCACCAGAATCTATATCATTATAATGTTTACCCTGCACTATCAAGCTCTAGTATTACCTCTAAGAAACAATTGTGACGAGTCCTTCATATTGTTCCCTAAGTGCTAAGAGATCCGGTCCGGTGGTAGATTCGGCGATGCACTGCCCTTGTTAGGGTCAGTGTTAGCAAGACTCCTAGTTTGAGCCCCGTGAGCTCACCTACACGTCAAGGAGAAGCTGAAATAGCCTTTCAAGGCTATCAGTATAGGTAGGGGAAAAAAGCTAAGAGATGCCATACAAATAAGATTAGAAAGAGTCAGCAGCTCTATATACCTCTGGCATTTCTTATATCTATAGGTGATGGAAAGCATTTACTACCTGGTGAATTATTGAGATGTTTGCCTTCAAAATCAAAATTTTTTTTAGAAACCATTCTTTGCATTTTTCAAATTTGGAAAAAAAACTGGCCATTCTCATTTTTCAATTGATTTTCCACATATTTTATACTTACTTGTATACAGAGTAATCAAACAAAGTCTTATTTTTCATATGTCTCTCAGTAGTGTGATGATCAGAAGGTACATTGCTTTCAGAACACAACTGGCAATTCATGTTTGCTTCCTGGAATAAACGATAACTGTTTCAGCTATGCCTTTTTTATTCTCGAGAAGAATAAAATAACAATTAGAAGTTTGAAGATTTATAAGTATTTAATTATTTGGCAAGAAACGAACTTGTTGATCGTGTTGATTTTACCCATGGGATAACCCAAACAAACGCTATGTGCACCTAGACTTTATACTATATTGTGTATTCTATTCAGTATTGCGTTGTCTTTAGGTCTTTCTCTGTCGATAATTTTATTGACAGTATGTATTAAGTACATACCTACCTACTATTTGTTTGGTTTTTATAGAAAAGGTGAACAGTCTCCGAGCGCCAGATCCAGCAGTGCTGTCTTCTAATATAATCTATAAAGTACTTTCGGAGTATCTAATTACCCTACTTGCTTTATGTACTAGAGCTGTAATGTGCATAGTGCATAGTATGATTTGTTTTTATTGATAATCTCAAAGATAATAAACAACACAAGCACACGTTATTTTTGTGTTTGATTCGTCCAATAGATTAGGGACTTTTTGGCGGGAACGCGAATACCGAAGTTGTAGGAGTTGTTAATATCATTATTTCGTTTAGTATTTCTTTCGATTTAAATGTGTCATAATGGTAATTTATTAACAGTTTAACATCTATGAAAGTGCGGAAATGTGGGAAAGACAACAAAGCGACTGGAAGATGACCGTATGTTCCATGGGGAGTGCTCTGAGGAATTGTTCGAGATGATACCGTCATCTCGTTTTTACCATCGCACCGCCCGCCACCGTAGTAGAGTTCATCCATACTACCTGGAGCCACTGCGGTCATCCACAGTGCGTTTCCAGAGATCTTTTTTGCCACGTACCATCCGGCTATGGAATGAACTCCCCTCCACGGTGTTTCCCGAGCGCTATGACATGTCCTTCTTCAAACGAGGCTTGTGGAGAGTATTAAGCGGTAGGCAGTGGCTTGGCTCTGCCCCTGGCGTTGCTGAAGTCCATGAGCGACGGTAATCACTAACCATCAGGTGGGTCGTATGTTCGTCTGCCTACAAGGGCAATAAAAAAAAAAGATATAAATTAAGTATAATCTATGACTGGAAGCATCTTCTTAGGTTCATCCAAAGAGCACTGAAAAGTAGTGAAAATCTTCAGTAACCAACTTCGATCAACAATAGTAACTAGTTACTACCAGGTAACCAACCACCATTTTACTAAGACCAGATATCGCATCCCGTCTCACAAAATTTCACTCCAATCAATTCAAATCTCAAATTAATCAACTTCATCATATTTCATTTCATATCATTTTTCATATTTTTTTAAAATAACAAACAGAATGTAAGAAGAAAATATAATACTTGGCTTAAAGGTCTCTGTACCGTAAAATGGGGTAAATAGGGACAAAATCGAACTTCAGATTGAATTTTAACATAGTTCCAATTAAATAGTCACTGCTCAACCAAAGAAATAAGTTGAGTCTTGAACGTACCTAGGTGATAAAAACCGTTACATTATTTTAATTATTCAATTTAAAGAAATAATCGGAAAAATAATGGCCATCCCAATTTACCCCGCATTCGGGGTAAATTGACACGGGTAAGGGTTAAATTGGGATATTTGTAAGGGTTGTCAGTTCGCGGTACTGCGATATATAGGTAGGTAGGTAGGTGCCATACAATTATTTATATGGACCGAAATGATGAATACAATCCATAATTTAAGCACAATACACAACATAGTGTAAATTAAGCTGGTTTCTATTCCGAAGCGATGTGACGTGAATGATAATCAACAATACAATGATCAAAAAAAGTATGTGCATGTTATATTTTAGAAAATTATTATTTAATTTCCTTAAAAATCACAACTCTGAAACAAAATCATAAAATAGAATAAAAAATAGAAAACAAAAGGACTGGAAATGCAATAATACAATTTTATTTAATCAACATTTTCAAAATAATCTTTGAGCAAGAGTAAGATATCAGGTGAATAAGATAAAAAAACAGCTTTATCTGATTACTGCCAATAATAACAAAAATAAAAGAAATTCTTTCTAAGCTAAATAACTAAACTCAATTAATTCACTCACTCATAATTGGATATCTCGGATTTTTAATTAATGTTACATTTAAAATCTGAGGCCTGTTTTTATTTGTGTGTGCGTTTTGAATGTTAACAAAATCATGATTCGACGCGTGAATAGATTCTGAAATAACAAAAGTTTTGATTCGTTTGAGTTCTTTTAACTTTTAATTTTTTTTATTGCTATAAAGAACATACGACCGGGCAGATATTACAAGGTAAATGTCGCGAAAAAAAAGTAATTATATATATACTTTTCTTTTACCTATAATACTTACATAAACTAACTGATAAACACATTAACCTTCTTTACATCACGCAATTAAGTGATAGTATAGGCTAAAAAATCTATTATAAGATATCAGTGACAACCCTAACAAGCCATCCCTATTTTGTCTTTTGGCGTTCCAATTTTGTGTTTTCTCGTCCCTAATTTTTCCAGTCTCGTTCCAAATTACCCTACATACGTCCCAATTTTCCCCAAAAAGAAAGGAAAAATTATACATTTTTTATTTTGTCGAAATATTGTATTTAAAATAAGAATATTGCAACTTACCGTTTGTTGTGGTATTTCCAGGTGTATTAAAAACATATATAAAATGTGATCTTATTGAAAAAACAACGATAATATTACTTTTTTTAAAAGTTCTGTAAGCTGTTTTAAAACGCACTTTTCAACCACTATTTTCAATTTAATTTGACGAATTTTTGGGACCAACTTATCTCATATTTAGTACTTCCATAGTTAACTTGGTTTTTCTTCTATACATTGATAAATATTAACATAAACAAAATTAGGTAGATTCCGTGCTACAGGTACTTTGAGAATCTTCCGCAGGTTTGTCCCAATTTACCCCAGGATCCCAATTTACCCCATGTCATGGTACCAGCCCATAACATCTTCAAAATCCAATAATTTAGCAAATGGAATGTAGTTCATATGCCTAAATTTTTTTATCAAAGGCTGTCACTGCTTTATGAATAATTATGAATGATCAAATGGCATATTTGAATAAAAATTAATTGCTTTTTCCTGGTAACGAGGTACAAGGCAGTGTGATTATTTAGAATAGAATGATAACTAGAGACCCAAAGGCTTTTCCAGCTTCATCAGGCCATGTGGGAGAGCACGGACTCAGCCAGCCACGAGAAATTACAACATCCTCGTGGCTGAGTCCATGAAATTGTTTTATTTGGTTAATCTAGTATTTCTTCTGGTTTAAATTAACGGTGGTTTATTACCAGCTTAGCATAATGCATATACATATTGCACAAATGTGGAAAAATGAAACAATGCCACCGGACGTAACTTCTCAGGTTTTTCCAAAAATTCCACTGAAAAAGTCTCAGTAAATAACCACCAATAAAACGAAATAAATAATTATACTCTCAGAAGAAATGGTAGTAATTTACAGTGGATTCAGTAAACTTTTTGGGAGAGACCGAAACATTAAGTCCAGTGATTTTGTTTCGTAAGACATATAACTTCTAGCATTTTTCTGTTTCTTTCAACAGCAAACAAACACCTACCACTTTATGCAAAGGCTATTTTATTTATTTATTTTCATATGCTGGTCTTATTTCATATCTCAACGTGTTGTGCCATCTTGGAATAAAGTGCCTAGGGGTGAGTGAATACCACTGCTTCTGACGGATGGTGACAGACCGTGTCTCTTTAGTTGAGGAAAAACTAATCGTAAAACTGCTACTGAACTACCTACTTTGGAGCCATTAAGGCTCATTAACTCCATTTTAAATCTTTCTATCATTCAGTACACAAAACGATGTGGCAGTTTTGAAATTGCAATGATAAGTAATTCATTTTGTGCTTGAAAAGTAAAATCTTATTATATACTTCAAACTTTTATTGTATACAATTGCATGCTTAATGAGATCCAAATATAGTGACTGAGATCCGACACAATAAACGAATAGCTACATAATTGGCAAGAAGACGTAATTTATAAATTATTAATTACATTAAAGAGACTTAAAACTATGACTAGTACATTATTAATTATAACTTATAAGAGTAAACATTATTTAAATTTGACTAGAGATATATTGATATAAAATACATTATTTGGAATACACATCATACACAGTGGCTTGAATAAATGCTTATTAAAACATAACAATAATTAATATGGAATGTGTAAATAATATTTGGTAATCATGAAATCCTTGAAAACCATTTGCGTACCTATATATATTTTTATTCTTTCCATTTTTATTTATTTTCTAAACATTGCGTTATTCAATTTCTAATCGCGTCGAGTAATGAATGGGACATGGGTCCTTTCAGTGTGTTTCGTTGCAAGGAGTATCTGCGGTGGGGGTTCAGGAGAAAGAGCTCATTGCTGTCCAGCACGTAGTCCATGCCTTGACAGATACCCATAGGCTTGTTGCAGTAGTAACCGGGAGCGCATTTCTGGCCGTAAGTGTCAAATTCCATTTTTTCTGTGCATTGTTCTCCCGGACCCTGTAGTTAAATAAATATAATAATAATAATAAATAAATAAATATAATAAATATAATAAAAAATAAAAAAAAATAAAATTACTTTAAAGTCCTTACATTGAGATTAAATTTGTTTTTATTAACTATCTTCCTTAATAGTCAGGGTGCTTATGACACATCGGATATTACGCGATCTGTACAGAATCTGAGCATTAAGCATAACTTCAAAGACAGGTCAAGATCTGTTACGCTCGCTAGAAAAACAATTAAAATGAATTACATGTCATATAAATAAACTAGTGTGTCTGATGTGCCCCTTGTTTGTTGTTGGAGGGGTGTAATCGAATCTCCTATTTCTTATATGATAAAAAGTACGTGAAAATATTAAATTGTGACAATTTTATTTACCCTGAAGCAATCTCGTCGATTTCCGCAGACTTCGTTAATGTAAGTTCCATGATCGCATTTCTTGTACTTTCTATGGCCTTTGACAATGGTGCACACTTCATTACTGGTCAGCCAGTGACCCGAGTCCTCGCAAACTGGACACTCGACAATTTCCCTTCAAACAGAACATGTAAACATTCAATATTTTTTTTTAATTCAGATAAAAGTTTAAATAAGAACAATCGGAATTGCGTATTAACAGGTCGTCGCCCTTGACCACGAAAATCCATTATTTTATATATTTATACTCCCTACTGATATCGTTTCAATTGAATCAATTGATTGGTATTCACTCGTGAAAATGCATACATGTTAAATGGAAAAAAGTAATAATTCACCATTAATGTACCTATGTTTGTTTTAATTGATTTGTACTTTAAGATCGGTTAACTTTTCATTATAAAAAAAAAGAAAAGACTACACGATGCGTGCCAACGATTTCTTTCGGATTATGAGACTTGAAATTTGGTATTCGTAGAGGGCCGCGCACAGCTGCATTTCTGTAATCACAATTATCTAACATCCTAGGCGTAAAGACGGGTAAAATGACGAGAAATTCTCGACTACAGTATTTGTGCGTTTAGGGATTCCTATAATAAACTTATGACGAAATCGTATCACACCATCTGTGAATAATAACGGAGCTCTGTGTTCAGAACGGTGCACCTACTCATCATTATATGTCTATAATACGAAAGCTTGAATAACATCTCTAATATAAAAATTGACCGGATTGATTCTTATTAAAATTTCCAAAGTTCACCGTTGGCCAGGTTGGTTAATAGTTCTGGTAGTTGACGCATATATTGGTACGAGATTATCATCGTTGAGCAATGTTTAAACCACTAATGCCACAATTGAGACAATGGGATCATCTCCAATCGTTTCTCAAGGTGAACTAATATTTCTAATATTACAATTTTAAAGACACGGCAATCTCACATGTCACCGTTGATTTCCGGTTCGTCTCTCTCGATAAGGTTGCGACTGTCATACATTCCATTGTAGCGAGCGAAGCATGTTCCGGCAGCCAGCAACAGGGATAGGAAAACGATAGGATGCATGACTGGTGGATTTCTGAAATATAAAACCAAATTGTTTTAATTTATAACGTTCGTTAGAGAGAAGCCGTTTTTTGCCTGAAAAACTACGAGCGATGGTCTCCTCTTACACAGATTATTTCTCCTTCATCTTGTCTTCCTTCCTAACTTGTCCTATAGATGCTCTTCCTCAAGTAGTCTTAGTGAGAAATATAGAGAGTTAAAATTCACACAGATTTGTATCATCAGATTCGTTAGTGCGTCATTTCTGCCGTGGCGAGTAAGATCCTATTTGAAGATCATGGAAGTCGCTTTTCTAGTGTTATGGAAATTTCGACCACATGTCCCAATATCGGTGACAGTACGCTCGTGGTATATGTATGGATTATGTGCTCCATCCGGTGGATCGTGAATGTGTCTCTCCTAATCTACGTTACTGAAAATCGGTTAAATTTTCCTGTTTCCTTTTTAGAAATGTTGCCAGCTATTCTTGTAAACGAAGAGAAATTCGCATTACTCATTATATATTTTCATAATGCTATTTTTGTACGTTACTTACGAACTGAATTAAACATTAGTATATGACATACTAGACTCGTGATATTTTATAATGTGAACATTTTAGCGGTGATTAAATCACGTACTTTGAATGAATTCTATGTAGTACATACAGTCGTATTTCAATCTGAACATTTCAACGAGCATAGAGTCCCCCTCGATTGTAAGTGGTCACCGTAGATAGAGGATATTCGCATTGCTAGATGCACAGTCAACCCGCTGCTTTTAACGGAGAACTATTTTCAAACAGCTTAAAGAAATACATGTCATGGTGAGCAGGTAACACTGCACGGGAATTCATTCATGAGCCAGATGGTATGTGGCCAAATTTGTACCTGGATGATTGCTGATGTTGTTAAGAGAAGACAATGAGAAGTTACAGTGAATTCTACTCCGGTGGTACAGTAAAAGGACTTGAAGTTCAGATGATTATTCATAACGGGCAATAACACATAATGCTCCCGAACCCGCACGGGTAAGTCTCACTATCCTAATTATTTTTGCCGCGAAGCAGTCTAGCGTTTCCATTTAAGGGATGGAGCAGTCGTAAATAAAAATAAAATGTCATTTATCACATACATATATCTTATTGGGTGGTAGCAATCGCGTTGCGATGTCTGCGGTATTCTGCCCACCCATGTCGACTGCTAAGAATACCCCATTATAAAAATACTTTATGATTAGCATTAGTAGTACTTTTACAAACAGCTGCATGTTACTAATGAAAATAAAAGAAAAAGTGAGCGTCAAGGTAAGTATTTATTATTATTTTATTGCGCCATGAGATGCTTTGTTCCATTTATAGACACATGAGCTCGAAATATTGAAAACGTGTTAATATGAGAATCATAGCCTCACAATACCATCAACGGCAGTAACCACTGCTTACCTCGTTGAACTTATATCTCAAGGTGGGTGGCGCATTTACGTTGTAGATGTCTATGTGTTCCAGTAACCACTTAACACTAGGTGGGCTGTAAGCTCGTCCACCCATCTAAGCAATAAAAAAAGTAGATCGTGAATTACAACAATTCAAGAGGCACATCCAGGTCGTTGGTAACGCATTAAGGACCCTTTTATTGGAAGAAAAATGACATATTTGAAAATCACAGAGCCGGTTGACTAGTAGAAGAAATGAAATTTGTTCATCATAGTACTGATGAACTCTCCAGAGGTGTTTTACCATTGTGAAGGAAGTAAAAATCTGATATTTTTTTAAGTTTTAAAGGCAACGTACAGCATTCAGCCTACTTAATGGGAGTTGGCTACCGCCTCCCGTAGACACCTGTAATGCTATGGTCAGTCCACACAACCAGGTCCCTGCAGACAGTGTATACGGCAGAGCAACCTCCATAGGATGCACCGTAGAAAACTGTTCCAAACATTCGCTGAAACCCGGGTTCCTATCCCTATTCAAATGATTCTCTTCTGTGTGGAATACAGCTGGTGGCAAGAAGCTCCAGCCCAGAGCCGGGATATCCCACACGAGGCCATCTGAATTGTGAGTGCTCAGTACAATAATAATGCTTGGACATGTACACGAGCACGTCTACAATTTGCGTATCGGCCATCGTACGTAATCGTGGATACATGAACGTAATTCTGTGACCCAAAAAAATTTAAATGAAATCATCATAGGAACGTCCGAATGTTTTCTTTGAGTTTGCACCGAACTACGTGACTTTTCATAAAGCAAAAACATCCTTTGTATAAAACGATATCACAAAGCAGCAACCAACGTACGACCTCATGTATAATATTTGTTTTCTTTATTAAATACCAAGACGCCGGATATCAGAATTTATTTCCGTTCTAAAAGTCAGTGACATAGAATGTAATTATAAAAATAAATCGTCATTGCAGTGTCGTCATCGAATGTTGTGGGGGGTTCTTACTCCTAAAATATTGGATAACGTGATTATTTTTTTGTTTTATTAATGATTGCTCCATTACTGCACCACTTCGAAAGTTTGACGTAGTAAAACTAGTAATGTACTGTAAATTATTTTTTATTTAGACAGACGGTCTGTATTTTAGTAAAAGATATGCGCCGCCCGCCTTAGCCGCCGCCTGTGGCGCGCTTTTTCATTATGCGCATTCACGTTACACACTTCATCTGAAATGGACTATTCATTATATTGCTAAATTCGTTTTCGAAATATTAAAACAAACAAAAAAAGGTTTTTAAAATATTGTTGTGAAAAGTATACAGTGATTGTTTATATATTCTTGAGCATCGAAAAAAGTTCTGTCAGTAAATTATGGGGATGATTTCAAGAGTGCGCGGGCGCATTAGAAGTGATTCGTTCACAAAAATTCACACACTCAAATCAGAGGACAAAATTGCGAATATTGGTATGTTTTTATTTTACTATTTATTAAAAATATATTTTTAAATATCAACTATTTGTTCAAATGAATGCATCGTTTGATGCTTCATGAACTAGCTTTTTTTGTTTGAATTTATTTTGAACATGGTTTTTCAATGTTTATTTTATTGTCAACATGAGTCAGTTGTTTTCATACGCATGTGTCTCGCAGCATGTTTAATAATAATTTCATCTGCTCGTATTAGATATGTTTATTCAAACAATTTTAAATTAGTACAAAAATACGTGTTTGCATAGTACTAAACTAAAGTATTTTTCATTTAGTTTCAAACTTTTAATAAATACCTACAGACGTACAGAATTCCACAGCCTAATGCCAAATTAAAAACAACTTGTTTACTTCAGACGTTGAAAATATCAAAACGCAACGTCTATGAAAGTACTGGAGTGTTTGGTTATGCGTATTGAATATCCACCTAGGTCTTTAAGACGCATTCATTTATATAAACCTCTGTTATACTATTTAAATTTTATTACCAAGGAAAACAACACCACCTCCACCACCACCATCAAAATGGCATTGGAAATGCGAACATGTTTTCAACGATTGATTACTCAGAAATTTCACTGTGCTTAAAAATATAATAAACGGACATATTAATGATAACTCTCATAAATTACAGGGAGATAGATATCTATTTTCACACACATATTCAATTGATTGCATTTTTCAATTGGAATTTTATAAATCTGGGTCGTTTTCACAGAGATCAATTTTTTTTAAACTTTATATTCTCTACGTTGAGAGGTTTGCACAAATTAGTTTTTATAAAAAAAATAGCCTCGACCGAGGAATAATAGCACCAAAAGAACAAAAAATAGTTCTCAGTGTATTTATTCTGCCCAACCGGAACAAAACATCAAATAATCAAAAGAAATTTAAGAAGAAAATCTTAAAACAGTTCATATCTAGTTTTTTATTAGCTGTGTTTCAACCCAGAGCTCGATGAAGGTTTTCTTTGTTTTCAATTCTTTAAGGTTAATCTACTCTACTTTTGTCGTGCATATCATTTAGATACATGCGAGAATAATCTCCTCTGAAAACGTGTAGTAAAGTAACAAAACAATCAAGTCCTCTTTAGTAGCAATGAGCTTGGAGAGAGGTTAGGTTCCTTTGAACAACGCCCCGGGAAGAAAATGGAAATGATCCTACATCTTCTTTTTAGAACAGTTTTATCATCGACTTGTGAAGAACAGTATTTTTTCAACATTACAATATGTACACTGAAACACTGCACTGAATTTTTTCTACCGAATATCCAAAACCCTAAAAGTCATTCTTCAAAAGTACGCAAGTAAACAGGCCGCGGCTGTTATGCTAGGCATAACAACGTCAACGTGTGTCGCATACCGCCATTTTTGAAATTTTGAATAATTCTTCAAAACAAAAAATAGAGAACATTAATAATCATCATCGTCTCGCCTCATTTGTCTTGTGGTGAATGTCCCTCGTACCAGTCGATGCCCGATTACTCATCACAGCCCGCAGCCGTATTACAGGCATTCTGGATGTATATGTGTTCTTTAGTTGTATAGATTGCTGGTACCCATACTCCCATACTCCCATACTTCAGGGTACGGCCTGCCTTTTTGTATTCAGAGTCAATCTCAGTTGCGAATGTGATCTTAAAAACACTTTAGATCTATCGATTTGGAAATTTCTGAAAGCTTGTACTACCTGGAAGAGTTTCATTTACCCACCAATTCATTCATTTTCTAGGTAATTCAGCTGTAGTTACACTAAGAAAATCAATGAGTACCGTGCTACTTAATTATGTTTTTTTATTAAATTAACAAACTAACAGTTAACTATATATATATATATATTCCTACAATATTATTAAGACGATTCGAAGCGGTCAGTACTTTTTAAAATGCCACAATAACGTTCGGGCTGGCACAGATATTTACACAAAAATTAGTTCAAGGAGGTTCTCAAAATATATTATGAAAATATATTTCAAGTGAATAATTTTATTAAGATACTTCGAATGTATTTTGTAACTATCAAATTTGTCTAAACTAATGACATTATAATAATCGACTCAAATTCTAAAAAACCGACTAAAAATCTTGTATCAATTATCTAATAACAAAAGACAAATGTGTAAGTTACGTAGAACGAACACTCGCAAAACCCTTGGTTTAACTCTCAATAAACTAAGAATCCTAAAACAGCACTGTAGCACACATTCACAAAAAAGCCTTACAAACGACACATTTGCAAAGGAATGTAAGAGAAAAACACCTCTACATATACATTAGTAAAGTAGCACAGTGTGTGCCTGCCAATAGTCTTAGACATTTATTGGTGGTAGGTCGTCTTGTGATTCCGCCTGGGTAAATACGACTACCTTGCCGATTTGTAGATGAAGAAGTAATGCGTTTCGGTTTGAAGGATGGGGAAGCCATTGTACTGTAAAAACGGAGACTTTAAAACTCATGTCTTAATATGGGTGGCGGCATTTACGTTGTTGATGGCTATGGGCTCTAGTAATAATTTACCATCAGGAGGGCTGTGAGCTCGTTCACCCATTTAAGCAAGAGAAATAAAAAAGGTTATAAGCGATAATAATTATCAAACAGCACAATCTCCTTCGAACAGGTGCAATACATCTCCAAGACAAATAGTCCAATTCGTGCTGAATTTTCAATGAAATTTGGGGTAGTCGTAAAAATCTAGGCCCCAGTGACTTTTGAAGTCTCACCATCCTTTTATATCAATCACTAGCTGACCCGACAGACTTCGTAGTGCCTCAATCGATAAATAAAAGACCTAAGCTTTTATATAAAATAAACTTAAAAGAAACAAAAGGATTCCGTCCGATGGGGAATACATCAAAGGAAAAATAAAATTGTTATTTTTATTTAATTCCAAGCATTTTCATATTTATCTACCTTTTAAAACTTCTCTGGACTTCCACAAATAATTCAAGACCAAAATTAGCCAAATCAGTCCAGCCGTTCTCGAGTTTTAGCGAGACTAACGAACAGCAATTCATTTTTTTTTTTATTGCTTAGATGGGTGGACGAGCTCACAGCCCACCTGGTGTTAAGTGGTTACTGGAGCCCATAGACATCCACAATGTAAATGCGCCACCCACCTTGAGATACAAGTTCTAAGGTCTCATGTGTAGTTACAACGGCTGCCCCACCCTTCAAACCGAAACGCATTACTGCTTCACGGCAGAAATAGGCAGGGTGGTGGTACCCATCCGCACGGACTCACAAGAGGTCCTACCACCAGTAAAATTTTTTTATATATATAGATTAAGGTATAGTTGAACTGCCGAAATAAATCAATGTTAACGCCACAAATCGTTCAGCATTAAACAGTTTATTTCAGGAGCTTTATAAATAATGAAAACATTCAGTGCGCCGACATTAAAGCGCAATGCATTTTCAGAACGGTACCGAAATAAGTTTATGATTTTTCAATATTATTCCGAGGAGACTCAACCAATTTGGTTTGCGATTTCGCGATCGCGTCGTTTTAAAGAAAACAATCACTAAAATCATTGGCAAAATCGTGCATTTATAAATTTTAATGTCATTTTATTTATAATGGATAAATCTAGCTGTGATAATAATTTTCGGTTCAGTAATCTTAATTTTTTTCCTTCTTTTTTTCAGTATGGCTTCTTTCACTTGTTTTCCTGTTGCCATTTTGGGCTCCACGAGGATTACTGGTTGCACTTGGAGGCGCATGGCTGATGGCAGCGTATACATGTTTAGTTGTTCCTGTACTAATATCAGCGAACTACCGGTATCCAGCCAGATGGTATCCAGCGGTAGCGAAAATAGTCCGAAGTGAGTAATAAATACAATTTATTTTTTATATTTCGTTCATTTCACACAACAAAAGCTCAAATTTTATAGTGGGGGCAGCCGTTGTAACTATACTTGAGACCTTACAACTTATATCTCAAGGTGGGTGGCGTATTTGCGTCATAGATGTCTATGGGCTCCAGTAACCAATTGGCGCCAGGTGGGCTGTGGGCTCGTCCACCCATCTAAGCAATAAAAAAAAAGGTGATATTATGAATACTTGCTTGCCAGTTATATCGTTTTAGTGCACAGCGTAGCTTGAAAGAGCACCAATCCCCTCTTCCCGCTCTCCTTCTTAAAAGCGACTAAGGGTTTCATTAGAAAATGGGCAAGAGTACTTTTTTAGTTTTACTTCAGCATATTCGCCAAGCTACTTTTACATTTGGTCCAGTGTATTCTGAGATCGGGCGGCTAAGTACCACCATTCTGTCTATTCATCCGATCTATCTTCCTTCAATAATGAAGTCCGATTTGAAGAAGAAATCGGAACGCGTCCCTCAAGACGATATTCACCCTCTATTGCTACATTCAACAGAACATTTTAATATGACAAGTCTGATGTTCGTATTTGTTTCAAAATTCTTCAATTGAAATTTAGAAAAGTGTTCTACTCGATATGTGGATCCCAGAGTTGACGTCAGATCAGCCCATGACAACACAATGTAAACACAAATATTGTTCTAATCTAAGTGGCTAGGCACAAATAGCAAGGTGTGCCAAGCTCCCGACCTATGCTACGCCAACGCCCTACAATGTTTCATTGAAAACAAAAAATAAAATCGATCTGTCCAAACACGAGTGGCATATTGTTATTGTATCGTCCGAATCCGAGAAAAGAGTTTTTATTTATTTAGATACATTAATCGTCGACGAGATTACTTTACAAGAACCACACGAAATAACTCAAAGCCAGCGTTGCTACTCGCTATAATAATAGTCAAAGTCTAGTTACACAGTTTCATCTGGTCCCAAGCTAGGATTTTTTTTATTACGGGAACCAGAGACATATACAGGTTTAAACGAATATACATATATGGACATCATATACTCTCAGACAAAGAGCAAACAAACTTCTTCATCACATTAATGTTTGCCCCATGTGGAAATCAAACCCACGACACTCTGTCCAGCCGTCAAAGGCGCTAGAACTACTGTTCCGAATTAGTCATATTATACTAGCGCATTATTTGTTTTGCACTACAAGCTCCCATACTACTCATATGCCAGGTTGTGGTACAAAACATTCTACCTCACATTCGTCTTTAATCGAATGCAAGAAAATCAAACAAACATTGAAGCATTCAACAGAAATGTGTATAAAAAGTCATTAGTCAGTTTACATATTCTAGAACATTCTGATCGTGAATGAATTGAATTAAAAGTCTGCTCGCTTTTTACCCGAATGGCATTTTGAACAATAAAGAAAAGTCCCTTTTCATATTTAAATGCGAAACCGATGTTTAAGTAAATAAGATATATAATAAGAAAAAAAAAAAAAATGTGTGCGTGTACTAGTGTACACACGTAAGAAGTGAAACTTCTTTATGGCCTTATTTTTCGAAAAATGATCTACATGCAACTTTCTAGAAATTGGTTAAATAAAGTTAAATTAGATAAAGTTTAAACAAAAGGATTTTATTATCATAGACATGAATACAAAAAAGATGGCGCGTAACGGAAAAATGTGACGCGTAACCGAAAAATGTGACGGTAAATTTTTTTCCAACGCCGATAAAGAAGTTTCACTTCAAAAATGTTACGTCAAAAATAATCTTCAGTTATTCATTAAAAATTAGAGAAAAATTAAAATGCTTCAGTGCGACCGAAAAACTAAATACGATTGTCAAACTGTCCAGTGTGTTTACGATTTCAAAATTCGAATAAATCGTTTACATTTGTGGATAAAGAGAGGTCATTGTCGAGATGGAACTGAATGGACGGCGGAAACTGGCCTAGCGCCAGGGGATGTGCGTCAACCGCTTTTACTTTTACACGTGGCATGGTTACACACATGCCGTAGACATCAACGGTCTAGAAGTGTTAAGCGATGTTCTCGAAATGTCAATAAACGTCATTTGAAAACATTTATTCTGCATTTCTAGAAACATTTGAACGTCGTGTTTATGATAATCCCGACGATAAAACATAAGGCTTTTTTTTTCTTCAAAATACACGATATAACCTTTGTGATCGTGATCTTTAAATAGTATATCACGAAGTAAGCCGTGAAAATGAAATGCTTTAAAAACAAATGTTCAACTGAATTATATTCTGACGCACGTTTGACTGCATTTGTTTTGGCAAAACGCTAACGTTCATACAATACAGTGCGTTTTCTACAGTTCTTTGAATCCAGGAGTCAACCCTCTCAACCTTCATCAATTCTCTAAGGTTACCTTGCCGTGTTATTGCTCAATTTCGACATCTGGTGTTAAGTGGTTACCGAAACCCATAGACATTAACAAACGTTAATACTGCCACCTACTTTGAGACATTAGTTCAAGTCTTAGTTCTATAGCATTACTACTTCACGATATAAATAGGCAGTATAAGACGCCCAAACAACAGTAAATAGGTATTTTTTGCGTGTTAAATTTTTATTACACTATGTTATATCTTCTTCGTGGAAGTCATTCATGAACATGTATGGTTTTTTTCCCCTACCTATGCTCATAGCCTTGAGAGGCTATTTCAGCGTAACCTTAACTAGTAGGTGAGCTCACGGGGCTCAAACTTGACAACGTTGCTAACACGAACCCTAGCATGAACCGTGCTTCGCAGAATCTACCACTGGATCGGAAATGCGGCCCACTGAGAAGATCCGGCGAGAAACTCAGTGGGCTGTGTCTGTGGGTTAATTTACTCGACGAGCCCTTCGTCGCAAGCGACGGGTTCGACGAGAACGATGACCGATGCTTGAGGTACCTAAAAGCACCGTTAGTGGATCGGGAGGATCTGAAATGACGTGTTTTGGACCATATTGTGTTCATCTTGTACTTCACTGAAAAAATAGGCACCTGCCTGCGGCGCAGTCGCATTGTTTGATACGAATGCACCGGTCGTCTTATCCAGCCTCAACGACTCCATTGACATCATGAATACCTCCGTCCATGTCGAGACATGAATTCGATATTTCAATTTGGTACAACAATTGCCTAGTGCGGACGGACGAGGTACTAAAATTTATTTTTAGTACAGGAACATATTTTATATGCCAAATTAAATATTGTACGATTCATTAAATGCTTTATGCTAAAAAAGTGGAAAACGTTGTGTTCCTTTACAATTAATACATTTACCAAAACTCAGAATCTAAAATTATTATTCAACTAAATGAGATAAAACAGTTGAATGGTAGTACTCACCAGGCTTGTATTATTGGTACTGGAAGCGTAAGACTGCTGTGGACTGATCACCCTTAGGTTGGGGATGTCCTTTTATACCCGACCATCTCATAGACGCTATTAAAATGAGACTGTTCATGCAAAAAGAACCAATTCTTTTAAGTAATTACTAAAACTGTGGTAATTAATGATTCGAAATCTGTTTGTCAAACACGAAATTACTTTCTAGTGTTTTGTGTTTGGTAAAACGCTAAAGTTAATGTTTTTAAAACGTTTTTACACTAATTTGACCTAGCATCTATTTAGGCAACAGAATCTTTCATTAAAATTTTTACCGTCTTCAAAACATCTGCTTAGCTTGAAAATCTGCACGGTCTGTGTCGAATGTACCACCATGAACTTATCCCTGTTCAGCATCGCCAGCAACTTTTTTTATTCAATTCGGCTTGTTATTAAATCATGTTTAGTATTAAACTAGATTTTATATTATTAAAAATACCTAACATATAATAATGAACGAAATCTATTTTAATTTTATTTTGAATTCTTTGAGCTTTCGATTGAGCCGTAAGACTTTCACCTTCATTTATTTTCAAATGATTCGTCATTGTCCTAGTCTTTTTTTTTATTCCTACCTATGCTGATAGTCTTGAGAGGCTATTTCAGCTTCACCCTAACATGTAGGTGAGCTCACGAAGCTCAAACCGGGAGAGTTGCTAACACTGGCCCTAGCACTGGCCCTGGCAAGAGCAGTGCTTTGTAGAATCAACCACCGGATCGGAAATGCGACTCACTGAGAAGATCCGGCGAGAAACTGAAGGTGCTGGTCCCAAAATTATATGACAGACGTGTTTTGCAATTCAATCACGTTCACCCATTTTAGAGACTTTATAACTTGAACGCAACATAATATCTAAGCTATCTAACGCTCTGTTTAAATGGTTAAGTTACTTACTGTACTTGTCAAATTCGCCAAAAAGTTCGACTTGAAACCGAACCCACACATCAGCCCTTCTCTAAGCACCTGCCATTTTTGTGTATACTTGTGACATTGGCAAAATCAATGACCAAGGCGTTGAAGCCAATTAAAAAAAAATACATCATCCACCGAATTTCTCGCTGGGTCTTGTCAGTGGGTCGCGACTACGTTCTGGTAGAAGACGCATTTGCGGAGTAGGTAACTACCCTTGAGCTGTTAGGTCTCCTTCGGAGGCGTTCTGGGACTGGTGAAAAAATGATAATGAAATGGGCATATAATATATGTTTCGTTATTATTCTAAACCAGAAGACCTGGACTAGCATAATGTATTATTTTTAATTCACCATGTGTAATTTGCTTTGGAAAAGATTCCATAATGTTATTTCAGACGTCGTGAACCAATCTATAATATAAAATAAACGTTCAGGACAGAATTCACAACCAGATGAAATTAGAAAATAGGTTGCCTAAATTGTATTATCTATTTATTTCTTTTATATCAGTCTTCTTACAAATTAACAGTATAACCAAAACATTTGTAAGGTAAAACATATTTTAATAGTACTAAATTCCATAATATTTTTTGGAAAATCGGGAGTTTTTGAAGTAAGTTTTTTATCCCATAAAAATAAGATAAAATTTTTTTATTATTTAATTTCTTGAAGACGTTCTACATGAATCTCGTTCAGTTCTTAGAATATGTACTTTCCCGATAAATCTCAACAAAAGAAAAAGTAAAACTGATAGGTGGAAACTCGACATGGTCAATGTGAAGTGACACTTAGGACTTTCATGATTATGTCTACAAACTCCTTCGAACATTTCAAGGCCTTGTTCAAAGATATTTTTTATCCCCATTACTGTTACTAAGGACTTTCATTCCTTAACTACAAAATTTTTCTCAAGTATTCTCAAGTGAAAGTTACTAACTTATATTTATCGCGTATAACGTATATGTATAGGGTAGTACGTACGTACAGACACATGTACGTATTTGTAAAAATAATAATAATACGAAAACTAACAACATATTTTATATTTATATATGTTTTTATTGAAATATAATAAGGTCAGCAAAAAAGTTCTCTTTTTTTTTAAAAATGAAAATGCAACTTTATTGTACAATAATACTTATTATTATTTTTCCTACTTTTTTTATTTTTACCTATTTTTTTCCTACCTATTCTAGTAACCTCGAGGGGTTATACTAGATTCACAGAACTAGTAGGTGAGCTCACAGGGCTCAAACCTGACGTTGCCTACAAAGTAATCATTCAAAGTATTGCCCATTACTAGCCACAACTTTTCCCACCTTTCTGGCAGAGTTAAACCATCTTGACGGTAGAAGTTTGTTTTTTAAGACTATCGAAGAATTAGTCATTACATATTTGGTGTCAGTATAAGAGCGGAACTGCTGATCATTCAAACCGGACAGCGCGATATCTGGGGAATATGGCGTGTAGGGTACGTTAAATTTGAGCATTTCAAATTACCTAGGTTTTAAAGAGCTTAGCAACGTGAGGCCGAGCGTTGTTTTGTGTGCGCCGTTTGTCCGTGTGTCCATTTAAGTCCGGGCAGTGCCTCGCTTAATCGAATCCCCTATAGACACAGCCCACTGAGTTTCTCGCCGGATCTTCTTAGTGGGCCTCGATACCGCTCCGGTGGTAGATTCTGCGAAGCACTGCTCTTGCTAGGGTTGGTGTTAGCACCTCACCTACCAGTCCGCGCGAAGCTGAAATAACCCCTTAGGCAGCCAATGTATAAGTAGGGGGAAAAACTAAGGTAAAAAAGTTTGAACTAAGTCTCTTTTTTTTTAACATAGCAACAATGTATTTGAACAAAAACATAAAAAAAACATTTTGTTTCAGGAGTAGCCAGAAAGCTGCGCCCATATTTTGACTGTGCCAAGAATGTTTTAAGGGTGGCGTATGCACCACTAGAACGTACAGAGAAATTATTTTTACAGATGAACAATCTCTCAACTATGATGTGTCAGGTAACCACAATGTCTTATATTACTCCAGGCTCACACGTTCATCAGAGACTACTATGCTTCTATACTCCAATGTCTGTCATAGACAACTATCAAACCGGGCTATATATATATATATTTTTTGCTTTGATGGGTGGACGAGCTCTCATCCCACCTGGTGTTAAGCGGTTACTGGAGCCCATAGACATCCACAACGTAAAAGCGCCACCCACCCCGAGACAAGTTCTAACGTCTCAAGTATGTTACAACGGCTGCCCCACCCTTCAAACCGAAACGCATTACTGCTTCACGGTAGAAACAGGCAGGGTGATGGTACCCACCCGCGCGGACTCACAAGAGGTCCTACCACCAGTAATTACGCAAATTATATTTTTGCGGGTTTGATTTTTACTACACGATGTTATTTCTTCACCGTGGAAGTTAATCGTGAACATTTGTTGAGTACGTATTTCATTAGAAAAATTGGTACCCGCCTGAGAATCGAACACCGGTGCATCGATCAACACCGGACGTCTTATCTGTTAGGCCACGACGACTTGGATGACGACGACGGGCGATGTATTAAGCTATGTATTTAACCAGTTAGCTCCTCTCAAATTATAATATGAAAACTAATAAATCGTGCGTGGTTCCTCATTCTTTAATATTTTTTAATGAGGACATGATATGGCTTTGAGGCAGAAATAATCAGGAATTTGGTATCTGGTCGTGTTCCCGTATCTTTGAATAAAGAGCCAGATAAATGTGAAATTCTTAAGTTAACTTAGATACAAACATCATCACATTTCCGAATTCAATTAAAACTTTCTTCAGATATCGTTCGATACGATCAGCTAATGTTTCTGCTTAGATTTTGAAATCAAGACCCAAAATGTTTATTTGTTTCAGTTGCTGATGTTCACAGCTTGTGATCGACTATTTCTCTCACAAGCAAAACTAACCAGTCTGTATTCCTTGATGTTCTATAACGTGGTCACTTATTCAGTTAGCTACATTCGTGAGATCTGCACGAAGGAAGACTGGTCGCCGTTTGTAAACGTAACACGACATTCCCAAGTAAAGCACCTCGCGATGTCTGCGACTAAAATTGTCCTCGAATGGACGAAAGCCATCACATTCATAGTGACAATCACTTTTATACTCCTTGCCTTTGGATTAGAACAAGGCTTGGAGCACTATCGGCCGACGGCACTGTACACCGTGACTACCGGCATCTATTACTTGTTATCAGAGAGAACGTTTTTAGAATTGTGGCCGATTGCTATTTCGGCGCTAAAGCTAGAAAGACTAGAAGGCATGGAGACATTGTACTTCGGAGTTTGGGCGCGGGGTGTGACTACAGCGTTGGCCGTGCCTCTAGTGCCAGCTTTGGCCTGGTGTGGCCGTTGGCGATTGGCTATATTGGTGCTGTACCTGTGTGTATTCGTTCACGGCAGACATCGTCTCGGAGAAGCGCTGATAAAGTTGAATGAAGCTAGAGGGTCCCTGGCGAAATTCAGACGTGCAACTTCACAGGAGCTGGCCACTTTGGAAGACGTTTGCGCCGTGTGCCTAGGTGCCATGAGGTCTGCACGAGTCACGCCTTGCGCTCACTATTTCCACGCTGACTGCTTGAGAAGATGCCTTGCCGCTTCGGATAGATGCCCCATTTGTGTCAGACCTTATGTATTTTGCTGATAGTTGTTTATTTTTCGGTGTCTAAGACTATTTTGTCAAGAAGTACATATAACTTCATACAAATCTTGAGGTGATTTTGTTTGAAATCAACTTTGATGTGACGACCAGTGCGAAGCGTAGAACAAATCGATCATTTGTGTTTAAATTCGAGATCACGAATTATACATATTATGTTCATAATTTAAATAATATTCATATCGAATAATATCTAATGAATAATATGTGAGTATATATTCACATATTTTATAAGTATTAACGAACGCTTTACATTTATTTACCCATTAATTATTATATTTACACCAGAGAAAATATTCACGCATACTTTCGAAACGCACGTGCTTAGTTTAAGATAAATTGTAACAACAAACTACTTTTTTAAATCCCATTTCACTAATTGGGTCCAAGTTTGTACTTTGGATTTTTCTAATAAAAAGCAATGAAATATTGAAAATTTTTTGTTTCACTGCAAACGCATAATCTAAACTAGATGATAACCGGGCTTTGCTCGTTTTTTTTTTATAACGCCGTTTTTGTGTCTTTAAAGCTGCAAAAATAGTATTATTATTCGCCAATCGATGTCAGAAAGAGTCATAAAGTTGATCATCGATAAAGTTGATTATTGGAAAACACAAATAAAACAACATTTACTGAAAATAATTCGTAGCTAGAAAGATTTATTGCCCCCGAAATCCCCCATATACTAAATTTTATAAAAATCGTTGAAACCGTTTCCGAGATTCAGATTGCTCGTTTAAAGGTATAAGATAAGATACATATAATGATTGTTATGAATGTGTCATGGGCAAGTGAAGTCGATGTCTCAATAGCGATGTATGTACTAAGAACAAGCTCTTCAAACTGGAATGAATGACTGCTTCGCCACAGAAACAAGTAGGGTTGTACTACCTATTACACACATTAAGGCCTTCCAGGCTCTCTCTCTTTCTCTCTCATTCAACCCCGTTTCTGCAGAATAGCCGTCAGAGCACTGTGCTACGTGAGGAATGTCGATCTTCTTGGCAACCTAAATTTAGAACCGATACGTATTTTAAGGAAGCGTCAGAACGCTACTTTGAAAAAGCGGCGCGACATGATTACCCTTGTATCGTGCTAATTACGTATACGATCCAGGTGACGATTAACGCAAAGTTGTCGTCCACCAAAACTAATTCAGTCGTATCCCTGGATCCCCTCCCGGTGCTTTTGATTGTTGGTCTTGAAGCATCGATCTCCGCCCTCGTCTAACTCGTCGATTACGACGAGAACTTTCTCTATGTGGTCACATACTTATCCAATTTCTTACCCGTGTTAGTGGCAATGATAATAATTGCTAATTTTGTTAGACCGCGAGGGTAGGCACCACCGCCCTGCTTATTTCTGCCGTGAAGCAGTAATGCGTTTCGGTTTGAGGGGTGGGGCAGCCGTTGTAACTATACTTGAGACCTTAGAACTTATATCTCAAAGTGGGTGGCGCACTTACGTTGGAGATGTCTATGGGCTCCAGTAACCACTTAACACCAGCTGGGCTGTGAGCTCGCCCACCCATCTAAGCATAAAAAAAAACTAGCCCTAGCAAGAGCAGTGCTTTGCTGAATCTACCACAGGATCGGAATCGCGGTTCACTGAGAAGATTCGGGGAGAAGACTATTAATTCTTAAACGAAGGACACGTAGGAAAACCGAGAAGAAAAACTCATTCCAGCGCCAAAAACAAAACGTACAAACGTTACGTAACAAAAATATTCCTTGTAATATATACTGTGGACGAAAACATTGATTCCAGGTTATTTAAAATTTAATATTAATCAATTTATACATTTACTTGAAATTGCGATTTTCATTTAAATGCCAGCTAAGTGAATAAAAAATATTTAATCTATTGTAGGATTCCGGAGAATTTGTCACCGAATACTTAGTATTTTTTTTAAACAGAGTAATGTGGGTTTTACATCAAATCAAATCAAAATAGATCTAGGAGAAACCAATGAAACTAATAGGAAGCGATCACACAAAACATCCTTTTAGAAACAGTAGCGCGTATTGATTACATTCGTGAGGCTTCGGTTGTGTGAAAAACGAAAATACGCTTCACAGTTCACACACAGCCGCTGGACCGAAACGTTACAGTAAAGAAAACTTACAGTAAGATCACAGTAAGAATTCGACATCGGCTATGATTGCCACGACTTTTGTGTGAACCTGTAAGTTCAGTCAAAATAGTTTGTTAAGGTTTGTTAAGTTGTTTGTTAAGCAGACGAGTTCACGACCCGCTCACCTATAGGTAGGTGTTAAGTAGAATTAAGTAGTAGATTCGGTTGCCCAGCAAACGTAGTATACGGGCGTGCGGAATCATGACACAATTACGTACTAAAAATAGGTATTGATAAAGATAGGTATAGTTAAATACTTTCATTGTCTTCAAAGGTAGAAAGTTACTGGTGGTAGAACACCTTATGATTCCGCACAGGTACCTAGATGCCCGGTACCACTACCTTGCTTATTTCTGCCGTGAAGCAGTAATTCGTTTCGGTTTGAAGGGTGGGGCAGCCGTTGTACTGTTAAAACTTAGACCTTACAACTCATGTCTCGAGGTGGGTGGTGGTAGAGTAGCATTTGCGTTGTAGATGTCTATGGGCTGCGGTTACCACTTAACACCAGGTGGGATGTGAGCTCGTCCACCCATCAATGCTATAAAGAAGACCATACAACCCTTCTGATGAGGAGTAGACATCGTCGCAGCTTACTTACCGTGGGGCGTCTTGTGAGCTCATACAGGTAGATACCACCACCTTAACTATTTCTGTCTTGAAGCAGTATTTTTTTTCCTACCTATGCTAATAGCCTTGAGAGGCTATTTCAGCTTCAACCTAACGTGTAGGTGAGCTCACGGGGCTCAAACCGGAGTGTTGCTAGCACTGGCCCTAGCAAGAGCAGCTCTTCGCAGAATCTACCACCGGATCGGAAACGCGACCACTGAGAAGATCCGGCGAGAAACTCAGTGGGCTGTGTCTATGGGTTAATGAAGCAGTAATGCTTTCGGTTTGAAGAATGGGGCAGCCGTTGAGCTATAAAATTGAGACTTAGAAGTCTTAGAACCATTATTTGTGGGCTACGGGTACTACATTTAATTTCTCAATTCAAGACTATGTATTTTGAAAACAGCTGAGTTTATTCTTTAAATACTATTTATTCGTCTTGTCCATATTTGAATACGGCATCATTGTATCAAAAACTTTAAAAAAATGCAACCACTTTATTTACATTTTTAATCTACCTCACGGTATATTATTTATCTTAAATATTACTCGTCTGTGTCTTCACGCGGTTGCCGCCGTGACATCATGTGGTTACGTCACCAGTATCTCCCCAACGTCGCATGCTCAAACCCACAACGGCTGAAGCGCGAACAATATTGCTGTTCTTGTCATATTCACTACAATTCTCATATGAATACTTTCCATTTCATTCTTGCAATTTTCTGCTCAGAAACGAAACGACATATGTATGAAAACATTGGATCTTTGAATTCGGTCCGTACTTTGTTTGCGAGTGGACGCGGTGTCCGTGCGTGCGAGGAAACGGGATACGAGTTTGATAAGTGTTTACGAGAATAAAAAAAAACAATGAAAATGTGAACAATTGGGCGGGTAGTTATCGCTGGCATTATCACTTCCTTTACACGATAAAAGGTATGCACATGTTATGTAAATTATTCCTAGCCTCGTTTTCACAACAAACATTTTGACAAAAAGTTATTTCATGCATACACATATATTATATGCATTCATCCTATTTTTCAAGCGTACAGATATATTTTAACAGTACATGCAGATTGGAACAACATTCTACAAAATGAATATGTTATTTTTAAACAGAACGATTAGTAGGTAGGTAATTATTTTATTAAACATCGTCGCAAGGAAAACTCAAGCATCTAATAAAATGTATTTATCGACTGTAATAAATATACATATACATAGTTTTATTTATTTAGATAATTAACAAGTGAATCATTTGATAATATACCTAATACATAAATTGATCTAACTTGCAATATTATCAAGGTGTGTGGCGCATTTACGCTGTATATGTCTATGGGCTCCAGTAACCACTTAACACCAGGTGGGCTGTGAGCTCGTCCACACATCTAAGCAATAAAAAAAAATATATATATATATGTTGCTTCGAAACCTACCATGCTTATTAAGATAGATACATATTTTGTCCTTGTCATTCGTTTCCTTGACCTCAGTTTTATTGTTGTCGCGTCCGCGCCGCCTTCGTCTTCAACTTGAAGGATTCAACAAAAATTAAGATTTTATTTTTATTGCAAAAAAAATATATATGAAGTTTAAACATTTTACATGAATTTGAATATAATTTAACAAAAGTTTGCATTCCGCAACAATGTTTGCGTCGTTCATAAAACTTCTGCTAATGGTCCATTAGAGGTGTTTTCCTCTCTTGCGGTGTGGCACAGGCTCGAACTGGTATATCGATGATTTTTTCAGCTTTTGCCTAGACGGGTGAACGAGCTTACGGCCCATCTGGTGTTAAATATTTACCGGAGCTTTTAGACATCACAACGTGAATGCCGACATCCAGGTTGAGACGTGCGGTTTTGGCCCCAGCGATACAAGGGATCAAGGTAGTCTAACCAACCAACCGTGCGGGCTCACAAGATGCCCTACCACCAGGAATAATATTCATTACAGCAAAATGAAGTATGTTTCAGTATCTACTGTTACTATTAATCCAGCCACAGCCCACTGAGTTTCTCGCTGGATCTTCTCAGTGGGTCGCGTTTCCGATCCGGTGGTAGATTCTCCGAAGCACTGCCTTTATTAGGGCTAGTGTAAGCAACACTCCGGCTTGAGACCCGTGAGCTCACCTACACGTCAAGGAGAAGCTGAAATAGCCTCTCAAGGCTATCAGCATAGCTAGGAAAGAAAAAAGAATTCTTACTAAAATAAATTTGTACACAGCACACAGAGTAGCCTTCATGAATGATGTCGATTAAAAGTTCGTCAAGGACGTGTTAATCTATGACGTTGTAAAATGTCATTGACGTTAACTGCGGCAATGGTGGCTTTCTAGCCTGCCAATGAATCGTACTCGTAGTGAATAATAAAAAAAGCGTCGGTCATTTATAACAATTCTTTTCGTAACAAAAAACACTTATAACAACACAGCTTGTAAGTGCAAAAAACTGCAAACAAACATAAGTTCAGGGAATATCGTATTGTTGTAATCATGATTAAATGCGTACACGCTACGATCCAAGAAAAAAATGTAGAATAGGGATTGCAGCGCATAAAATAAAAGTTACACTATTCCAAAATCTTCTATTATAATAGTAATTAATAGTAAATAATTAATAATAAATTCTATTATAATAGTTCCACACTCTTTTCATACGTTCCGTTCTTACCAATCCTACATACAATAAGCTAAGTAATCAACTTCAAGAAATTCAATCTGTATCAAGTTATGTCTCTGAATTTGAATATTATTAAAAATAATAGGAAATAAGTTCCAAACAGAAAAATAAATATTAATTTAACGCCATCGTACTAATTGTTTTTTCTCATGATTAAATAAAAATATGTTATGAGAATATTAAAAGATCTAAATATTTTTCAACCATTCGGTATATTTTCTGATACAAGCTTATCAAAATGTAAACGAATATAAATCGGCATCCATACAAAAACTTCAAACGCAAAATAAGCGGTTACGTCAGACAATCAAGATTAATACATACAGCACATAAGTATGCAATGCTGTTCAACTGTTGTATGTATAATTTATGTTAATTAAAATCAAAGACTCATGATGAATTTGGGAAGTATAAAATATCGCATAAGTCCTTTTTTAGTATTCACTTACTTTTGTCGGTTACAAATATTAATCAGGCACTAAGTATATCCCAATTTTAATAAACCATGTTTTTTTAAAACACTCGTCTCGATCGAAAATTTTGTAAGAAAAGTGCTAGACAAATATAAAGTTTTCTCCTCAGTATGATTTTATTTTTATAGCACAGATGGATGAACGAGCCTCCTCTCCCCATTATTTTTATTGCAAAAAGCTGCTTTTCAAAAACCTCGAAGCGAGTGTTAGTCGCTTCGAGGTTTTTGAAAAACAAAAAAGGCTGAGTGGTGTGGATTGGGAGAGGCCTATGTCCAGCAGTGGACGACTGTGGGCTATTGATGATGATGATGATGATGATGAGTGTTAGTCCGGAACCTGTAACAAACAAATGACAAGGCTTAAATCGTCTTATTTTCTGTCAGCGTAACATGATCAAAAATGAACTTCTTCTTATTTTGCTCTTATCGTAGATTATGTGGGATGGCTGCGGCATATCCTCATATCATACTGCATAGGGATTGATTAGGAGGTTTACGACCATCAACCCTCCTTAGATTATATTTCCAGTAGTACATCCATTGCAAAGTACCATAGAGTGGGACTTTCTTGTTTCTTCTTTTGATCTTTATTTTACTTCATCCGTTTTAGATCCTATGTTTCGCATTTTATTATTATGAACATATACACTAAAATTTAGATTTTTAAATACCACAAAGACAATAATATCACATTATATCCGTTATCAAAAATTAACATACGCGACTAGTAGGTATAACGAATCTTCATTGAACGTGGCTTGAATTTACATTTATGTTTTTATTGTATTTGGTGGATAGAAACGACGAGTGGATATCACCCAACATGAAATGAGGTCCTAACCCCAAATGTATAGTATTCGGCTGTCTCGCCCTTTTAAATATTATGTAGGTATTTACTTACGAAATCAATGTTTGGGTACAAAAAGTTAAAGTTTTTTTTTTATAAATATATTTTTATTTACATATATAAATCAAAATATGCATACATGGTATCGATATATAACTAGTCAGGTCATAAGTGTTGTCACACAGTAAAAACTTTTCTTTTAGAATGCTGGCCACAAAAAAGTTTATTGAATTCGAATTTCGAATTGTTCATGAAAATAAAAACAGTAAGCAGAAACTGTTGGCCCTTCAGATGGGGTTAAGCAGAACCACGGTGAAAAGGGTGTTAAATGAAGACTTAGGGCTTCGGGCATATCGAAGAAAAACAGGACATCGTTTGAATGCTCGTCTAATGGACCTGAGACTGAAGAGGCCGCGCTTTGTTGAAGCGGTACGCCGGAAAAAAATATCGGGAAATTCTTTTTTCGGATGAAAAAATTTTTACCGTAGAAGAGAGCTACAACAAACAAAATGATAAGGTGTACGCACACAGTAGTGAAGAAGCGAGCAACCGTATTCCGCGTGTCCAACGAGGTCATTTTCCATCCTCGCTCATGGTATGGTTGGGAGTTTCTTATTGGGGCTTAACAGAGGTACATTTTTGTGAGAAAGGTGTAAAAACGAATGCAGTTGTGTATCAAAATACAGTCCTGACGAACCTTGTGGAACCTGTTTCTCATACCATGTTCAATAACAGGCACTGGGTATTCCAACAAGATTCGGCGCCAGCTCATAGAGCGAAGAGCACACAAGACTGGCTGGCGGCGCGTGAAATCGACTTCATCCGGCACGAAGACTGGCCCTCCTCCAGTCCAGATTTGAATCCGTTAGATTACAAGATATGGCAACACTTGGAGGAAAAGGCGTGCTCAAAGCCTCATCCCAATTTGGAGTCACTCAAGACATCCTTGATTAAGGCAGCCGCCGATATTGACATGGACCTCGTTCGTGCTGCGATAGACGACTGGCCGCGCAGATTGAAGGCCTGTATTCAAAATCACGGAGGTCATTTTGAATAAACTTTAGTGTCATAAGAATCTATGTTTTGTTAAGTTCATTTTGGTATATGAATGGTTACATAATGAATAAACTTGTTTCAATTATTTTACATTAAACATGTGACAGAATTTATGACCTGACTAGGTAGTATAATGTATGAATCAAAATATATCAATCGTGATAGGTTCTATTGATAATAAGACAAAGGACAAACATATTTACGTGAGGTTAACATCTATTCAGTTGACTGCGAATCGAGGCCATTTCTGCAAGATTTATTGCAATGTATTTTATATTTAAGAAAAATATATTATAAACGAAAAAAATAAAAATAATATATGTACATAAATTAAAATGTTTGTAATGTTTCTTCTCTTGTAATGTCACCTTTTTAAAACAATTTATTGTCGTTCTTAAAGCAATGAAATATTTACATCCAGACATCATTTGCATAAACGTAGGTATTCATTTCATTGTCATTGCGATAGTTAGGACGTGGTACAGTGGAGTTATCGTAACATTTTAAAAGTTCATTGTAACTCGATAACCATGACTACAGCTGACAACAACACGTATAGGTATACAATGGAATCGATCGAATGGAATTGAATTACACCGTTTCTCTGGCTCTCAAACATTTTCAAATTCCGTTGTATTAATTAAATTCACAAAAAAATATGCGTATTTCCTTCACAGAACGGTCCTTATTAGTATGACAAGTGATCGTTTTTAAAATATCTCGATTTATAGAATTTTCAGTGAATAATACTATTGTTGATCGGACATCGAAGAGAAAATCGCTTTAGAAGCAAACAGAGTATGTTTTTAACAGTTCGGTTTACAAAGAACTAGGTATGCACCATGGTTTCACTCAGTTTGCACGAATTTCAATA